CTCAATAAGGACGTACTAGTTGTGTGTTTCAGATAGGCAAAGTTGGATTTCAAATGTGAGAAAACAGCACATACTCTGAAGACTTAACCCTTGATTTCCTATTAAAAACCCATCAGTCACAGATTTACTTAATAGTTTCCTCCTTCTCAGCTATGCGAATTTTCAAAGGTACATAGAGCCACAGTTTTTAATAAGAACAAAATAATAAAGGTTGTATTTAAAACTGTGAGTGTGATTTGTGAGTTCTTTTTAAACACATTACTTCACAAATCTGCTTTCTGTGGCCAGAGTCAAAAGGATGCAAACCTCCAGTGAAAGTCCAATAAAAGTGGCGAGAGGCAGGGAGGAACCTTATAAAATAAAAACTGGTGCAAGAGGAATTGAAACCTGTAGCTGCAGCCTCCTCTTGTGCAAACTAGTTTCACAGGATTTACAGGCAGTGTTTGTGTCATGCTTGCATGGCTTTGTTATTGAGGGAAGAGAATCTCTCATAGGGAACTGTGAATGCAAAGGAATGAGAAGATATTTTACATGAGAATATGGAAGAATATTGACCTGGTGGCCAAGTCGTTAAGCACTGCCCTTTGAATTTATTGTATAAATCTGCTTAGATTTATATTCTTCTTTGATTATTGTCAGCAGGTCGAGGGATGTCCTTCCTCTCTCTACTCAGCATTGCTGAGATCTTACCTGGATTGCTGGGTCTAGTTCTGGGCTCTCCAGTGCAAAAGAGATCTGGAACTGTTAGAGAGTCCGGTTAAAGGCTGTGAAGATGATGGGAAGGCATGGAGCAGCTCCTTTCTTAGGAGAGGAGACAGCTGGGACTGTTCTGTCTGGAGAAGAGAAGGGTCGGGGAATTTCTGTAAAGAGTTGAAGGGAGAGTGCAAAAAGAGAAGGGAGTCAGTGGTGCCCAAGGACAGGTCAGTAGGCACAAACAAACATCAGGAAGCACTTCACTGTGAGGGTGACCCAGCACTGCCTGGAGGCTGTGGAGTTTCCTTTTTGGAGTTCTTCCAGAGCTGCATGGCCTTGGGTGCCCTGCTCTGGGTGTCACTGTTGGACCAGAGGCACCCAGAGACCCCTTCCAGCCTCAGCTATTTTGTGATCCTTTGACAAACTCTGAGAATCTGTATTGTAATCAGTTTATTCCAGTATCTTTGGTAATGATATGAAAGGGTGCATAAGCAACACATCAGATTATTTCTAGTTGTGGTTAATTTTAATTCATATCTGAGAAATTAAAGATAAAACAAGTAGCCTGGGGAGAGATGAAGGGGAGGAAAAGAAGACTGATATGCACTTGAATGCTAAAGAAGGCCTTCAGGTCTTCACTGTTGAAGACCAGCTGTGTATGAAGCTTTGCAGCTACTAGCTGAGTTCTTTCTAGCCACTGCAGGGAGCCAAAAGGACAGGCTGCTCATCAGAGTGTGTAATCAGGTTCAGGCAAGAGCCCAGATCATCAGGCTACTCTGTGATATGAAGTCAAGTCTAAGAACGAGCTGGGAAGTCCAACCGTGAGTCAGAGCTTGAACCCAGATGAGAAATCAGCATTGTGCTCCAGGCCAGTAATTTGATGCAGAACTCTTCAGAGGACAGGAAGCTGTGTGCCAGGCTTCATGCTGAAGGTAGCAAAGGGGAAGTAGACTCCAGAGAAAAGTGGAAGATGATAGCAGATCAGCTGGTTGAGAAGAGATCAGTCCAACTGGTATGGAACAGGGAAATGATGAACAGAAGTGCTTTCTATAACCGTGGAGAGATGGAAATCTGTTTAGAGAACAGGTCATGGCTCACCTATCTTAAGCTCTCTTGCCCTCTCCAGAAATCCATAGTTACTTAAAACTGAACAAAGCAAATTCTTTCTCTTCTCTCTACTCCTTCCTCCAAAAAAATGAAGAGAAAAATGATTGGACTGAGGAAGGAAACAGGAAGGAAGGAATGAAGTGAAAGCGTTGAGTGATAGTGGTGTAGTATTCTGGACATGAGACAACAGGTGGATCTCTGTTGGCCTGTTGTGTTGGGATGTCTCTCTAGAGTAAAATCTGAAAAGTTTGTAGTGCAGACATAAGTGTTCCTTTGTTCTTGGAAAGTAGTATCAAGATGGTTTATAATTATCTTCAGGGTCTGTTTAATAAATAAGTTCTTGTTGCTCTGCTTGTGTTGGGAGTCAGGTACTGGTTTGACTGTTCACTCACAGTGTGACTTTTCTGCTCCTTGGCTTGCTTACTGTGCTCTGTAACCCAAGAGTATCCTGCTGTTCTGTGGCATCAGCTGCTGTGGAAGTGCAGACTGTTGTCCCGTGATTTTGATTCTTTAAACAAGATCTCTAAAGCTAATCCTCAGTGATTGTAATCACTAGTTTGTTCCCCTGGCAAAATAGGATTATGGCATAGAGATCAGGTTGTATTAACGATGCTAATCTGATTCAGTTTGCAGACACTGTATTGTTGGACAACTGAATTGTTTCCTGTATTTTTCATAAAATTTTTCCTGGTTGAAATTATTTGTATTACTGGTGCTTGTCATCTCCCAGTAATTCCATCTGAGAACTGCAATCTGGTGAAAGTGATGAAAACATTACTTATAAAATTAAGATGTATGTAGATACCTCTTTCTTACAATACAAAGACAATATCGATTCTTTCTCAAAAATATTTAGCAATGTTACTGTTGAAGTGTTGGAGGAGACATAAAAGCTTTAGTCACTGACTATATACAGAATTGGCTGTTGCCTCATCTGTCATACTTGTCATGAGCAAGATTGTGGTGTAATTTCCCAGTGTTCCCAGTTTTTGAACTTGTTTTTCTAAGATTTAATACTGTCAGTATGCAGACCAGTCAATGACAAGATCGGATTGAGGTTACTGAAATTCCTTCAGCCTGTAACATGGAACATTTTGTCAGATGGTGCAGATTTTTTTGTTGAGGTTGGATTGTGGCTTTTTACCCTAGGACTTATTCAGAACTGTTTCTTTGGCTGTGCACTAATTTGCTATCCAGTAACTGCATGTCACTCTCAGAATGATAAGTCAGCACAGCACAGAGGCTGCGGTATTGCTAGCTTTCCTGCTTTTGCTGCAGATTGAGCAATGTTGGGTATTAATAATTTGTACATCCATGGCAGCAGCTGAGGTTTTTGATTGAGGAACTTAGGTTTTCCTAAAAATAGTAAGTCGCTATTCTTCTTGATCAGACAGAAAAATTTGAAAGCATGCACTGAATGTGTACAGAAGATAGAAACAACAACAAAAGAATTGATCATATTAAAAATAATTTTCAGAAACAACAGCAAAAAAGAAACCCCAGCACTCATGATTTATAGAGACAGACTCCTGACCTTTGAACACTTGTGGCTGAAAGAGCTGGTGTGTAGGCGTCCAGACCTCTCTGCTTGCTTTCACATGCATGCCATTTCTACTGAGTTAGAGATCTGTGTGGTTTTGGTTACAAAAGCTTTTCCACTGTGATTAGCTTTCCTTTTGGTCTGGTTTAAGCTTGCCTATGTTCTTTTATAACATAAACATATTCTTGTCCTCTTCATCTTGAAATCCCATTTTGAAATATTCTTAAAAACTTTGGGTTTTTTTTTTGCTTTGTTTTAGACATTGATGTGTATGGTTCTGTGCTTAAGGTCTGTATTGTTAATGGTGATCAAAAGCAAAAAAAGCCCAAACTTCTGCATGTTGCAGAGATGAAGTCTAAAATTTTCCTCTGCTAGGAGCTGGGTGAGAGTTGGCAGAGTTCTTCAACTCCAAGCAGTTTAAAAACATGGGTTTCATGTTGCAGTCTCTGTAACCTAGCCTACATGGGACTCCTTGTCACTGTTAATGTTTGCACTTGTCAAAGGGAACAAAACAGGAGAGGAGAGGAGGCTGTAAGCACCTAAAAAAGTAGGTCAATGGGGCAGCAGGTTATTTGGCCAGAAAAGAGTGAGTGGCTTCATTGAATCATGCCGTAATTGTTTTTCCTCTTTTTGGCAGATTGTTCTACTGTGTTTTAACTTCCTATGTTAATATCTGTGTCTGGTTTTTAACCACTTAAGAGCCTCTGCTAGGTGCAAGGGAAGGAGAAATTTAATTTTTCTAATCGAAAAAAGTGCAGAAATAATTCTGATGTTTTCAGTAGCATTAATGAATCTGAGAGTAGCATAAGCTTTGTTTTTAAATCATGACGTTCGTTTTAGAATTTAATGCTTTTTATAGTAAGATTTGTAGAAAGTTTTATGAACACGTTGTTCAGTGAATTCATTTTATTTTAAGAACAGAAAGCAAGGCAGAGAGAAATGAGATAAAGGCAGGAGGAAAAAAACAATTTCAAGTAACTTAGAAACGTAGGAAGTAGCATGGTGTGAGGGAAAGACTATAAAATACATTCCAATGAAAAATAGTAGTATAATGGAATCAGAAATTGAGGATCACTTAGACTGATTTTCTTAATGCAAATACTGCATTTGTGGGGTTAGTTTGGAATATGTTTTTGGAATGGTTTTTGAACTGGGTATTGAAAGAAGAATTTAATGTCTGTCTGAGGCAGCAGCAATAATGCAGCTGGATGACTTTTCTAGTCACTAACGGCATTCTATACATTCTGCAGTCCTGAGAGTAGCAATTCTGAGAGTTTGAAGAAGAAAAGACATCAGTGAGAAAGACAGTGGAGGGCCAAGTAAGAGTTTTAGCAGGAGGGACGCTTAAATCATGGTGTGGAGAGCTGCTTTGCAGGTAGCAAATGAAAGCGAAGATGTAGGTGGTTGATACCACATTTAAAAGTAAAAATGATGTCAAGGTTAAAGATAGACATAAAGTGACAGCAGTGTGAAGCAGAGAAGAAATAGTTTTAGTATACACTGTTTAACAAGGAACAGAGCTTTTAAGCAAGGTGAATTCTGACAGTGAAAGCAGGCAGAATATGGCATTAATAAATCACATGAAGACTTTTTTTTATTTAAAAAATATTAATTCTGTAATTAATTGTCTTAAAAACTCTCCTTTGTGATTTTTTTACAGTTCATAATTTAATGCTTTTCTGTAAAAGAGGATACTCCACATTGTTCTTGAGAAGAACCAGCGTTTCATCCCTAAACCATACACTTTAACAAGTCCCAAAGTATAAAAGGTAAAATAAAAGGTATTGTTTTAATTAATAAAATTCCTCTGGCTTTCTGTAATCAACACTAAAGGCAGTGGCAAAGTAGTGTTTTTTTTGCTGTAGAACATGACTGAATTTGATTTTTAGAAATAGATATAGTCCTTGATTTCTGTGCTGTTTGCATTAAAGTTGCCTGATTTCACTGTATGTGTCTCTGCAGTCTTTTCCACTGACACGTATCACTGACAGTTACAGTTTCTTGCTACTTAGGATGCAAAGGGTCAGACCTTGAAAAGAGAAAAAAAATTCACTACGTATGCATTTTAGATAGTTTTTAAGTTCCTTTAATTGTTCTGGATGCCAAATCGAATTGCCAGTTCTGATGGAAGATCTGTGTACTGTAGTAAGGGAAACTAGAAACTGAGCACTTTGTTGAAGTGAAAAATATTGACTCTTGAGCTCTGATTCTGCATAAAGAAGATGTCAGCTATGTCACAAGTTGTATTTAGTGACATATGCTTAGCTGTATATTTTTCTTTTGCATATTAATGGAACAGTGTATCATTTAGCCAATGGAATTACATGTTACTCTTGATCCCCATGAGTTCCCAAATTGTTTAAAAACTGTTGCAAGGTTAAAATTGTAACTACTGCATTCCTCTATCAGTATTGTATAATCTAAATGAATTCCAATCATCTTTAACTCTGTGCTAGTGATGGTAGATTGCTTTTACAGCTGAGCAATGTAACGTCTGTGCTGTTGCTTACTTCTCACAAAAATTTGAACAAAAACTTTCAAAATTTATTTTTCTCTTGCCATTTCTGCCTTGTTTTCAAATAATACAGCTTTGTTACTTTATAAACCTTGGTCAACAAATGTAGGGAATTAAGTTTGTAGGAACGGCCAATACAATTGCTATTTTGAAGTATTTGAATAGTAGAATGGTTTACTTCAAGTGCCTCTACAGGGCACTGGACTTTGGAGAATAAATGCAGCGCAAAGCTGAACCTTATTACTTGAAGAAGTGGTTAAGAGGGCTCTTAGGCAAAATTGCATGCGCACTCTGTTATGTACCTTGAAGGAGACTGTGCTGCAGCCCAGCTTTCTCATTTATTTTTCTCATTGTGCTCAGTTCTGAAGTTTGGTTTAAACATAAACTTTCTTCCTCAGTTTCCCTTTCTGTCAAAAAACTGAGATTAGCTCTTCCTGGAACATTTTGTTGACTGATTGGATCATGAAGTAGCAGCTGCCATATTTCTTGAGGTATTACCACTGCTCTGCTGGATTTGGCACTTTCAGAAACAAGTAAATCCTTCCTTCTCAGAAACTGTGAGTTACTGAAGTGACTAAAATGAGCTCCTTTGAAATAGATGTAATTCCTGTTTAATGTTAAGTTCATAGCATTTAAAAAACACCTGAAAATCTGCAACTGTAGCTCTTATATAAAACTTTTTGTTTCACACAGTTGTTCCTTAATCTCTTAAATTCCAGTCCTGCTGCTCCATAAGCAGCTTTTGACTACTGACTTTTTTTATGTCAAAGAGAGATTTTACTGCACTGTTTTATCTTTGGCATTCAATCTTTCTGTACACCTTTGTAGTTCTGTAATGTTTGGGTACCAGCGAGTAGATATTTGTTGAAATAAATACTTTAATTTTAAATCCCCAGATTTGGAGCAAGGGAAAGGCTTATATTGGCTTTGTCCAAATTTACTGATTATGACATTTAATGAAGCAGTGTTCTTTTAAACTCTGTCATGTAAAATAAAATATTAAAGTCCAGGTTATAGTGGTAATGGAGACTAGATTAGAGAAGATGTCAGTACAGAGCAGGAGACTGAGAGGAGATTAAAAGCAGTTTAAAGAAAAAATAAAGACAAGTATTCTCTAGTGAAGTATGTGGTTATTCCTCCAGAGTTACATTTTGTTTGTTTTTTTTTTCTTTTCCAACAGGCAAACGTACAAATGTCTACCACAAGACTAAAGTGTGCTATGTTATGTTTTTTACCATAAGCACCCATAAAATGAGCTCCATTGCAGACAGGTATGCTTATAGAAACTGAGTTTTAAGGGAATTACTGTTAAATATTTTCTTTACTGACTTTATTCTTACAGTTAATATACAGAGAATGATAATTTATGCAAAAAAAAAATAAGAGGGGTGAGGTTTTGGCTACTTTTGGCCACTATTTTGATTGTCCTTAGATGTATTGTGTTGTAATAATTGGAAATAGTTTATTTTGTTCCTTGAGATGAATCTTAAAATGTACGACTATTTTCAGACATGGAACAGCATCTGTGCAAGTTGAGTTGATTTTTAGTGCTTACTTGATTTATTTTTTTTTAAATACTTCACTATTTGATTAAGGAAAACAAATACATTTAAATGATTAGTGGTGCTACATGACAGTAAACTGACCTGGTAACCTATTTCAAGGGAAAAGTAATAGCTGGGGCATGGTTTCTACTTGATTCCTTGCCCTAGACTTTCTTAGCAGCTTGGGTGAACATCTGTCCCTAATATACTGCTTGTTACCATTTTTCAGATTTCAGGAAATGAGACTTGCATAAAATTTGCAGAAAGTTCAGCCCATTCTGAATAAAACCCAATAAATATAAAGGATAAATGTTTTAAAGTACTTATGACTTTTTATTTTTTTAGTGAAGTTTTGCTGAATCTCTCTGAAACTTCAGCATTTTGAATATGTGAATTCTTTCTGAAAGTTTCATGCTAATGTAGTGACAGAAGATAATTATTTCCTAACATCTCTGCTTATCATCATGTATGATTACTTGATGATTTATCGTTGTAAATCAGAGGGATGAAGTAAGCTTTTTGAATGGACAGTTACTTGCCTCAAGGCAAGGAAACAGGAGGTTAAAAAATTAAGGTTGGACATGCAGTAGCCAGTGGGTGGACAACACTAAATAAAATGAATACAGACGGAAGAAATGGGAGAAATAAAATATGAGTCAATTATACAGCAGTTCTGGAAAACAGAAGAACAATTTCATCTTGACTTTTAAAAGGAAATCAAATAAAGCATGGTATAAAGTATACTGAGGCTTCTTAAAAGTAAAATGTTTTCATGTTGATATCTTAAAACCTCTTTAGCAATACATGCACAATTTTCAAGTTGAGTAAAAATTGTGATACTTGTTTAGGAACCAAATATAATGAATAATTAGTGCTACTGTTTAGAGTTAACAATATATGCATATGTTCATATGCATAAAATTACTTGCATGGATGAAGTATAGCATGTTCCCGAGCTCTCTTCCATTGCTGACGTATTTAAGGCAAAACAAGTACTTTCTTAACGTAAGTATTTCCAATATTGTAATAGATCCTGTGAAAAAGTTGAAGCAACAAATTTCTCCTGTAACATTTTCAAAAGGATAGGATAAATTCATTATTTAATTAAGAAGATGGAAAAATAGAATTAAATAATTCTTAATTAAATATTTGTGTAGAATTTTGAGTTCGCATTGGAAATATCCTAAAATTAGTTTGGGCTGTGTCAGAAATGTCAGTCTTTATGCTGTCTGTTTAGTAAACAGTCTACAAAAAGTTTGAGCAGTTTGTCTTTGGGTTATTGATGGTGGTCCTTGTGCGATGTTACAGTAATAAAACAGTGCTTCAGTTTCTTGATTTAAGGGAAATGATGTATAATGAGCTCTCTCTTTTGTGTGTTTTTTTTTTTTTCCTCATTATTTTTGGTTCTTTCAGAAATGATGGAAGCATTTTTGATGGTCTGGTGGAAGAAGATGACAAAGATAAAGCAAAAAGGTAATTTTTCAGTTCACCTAATTCTAAGAATATCCTGTGCTTGTACCTTTGGACCAAGATTTCTCAGTGGAATAAAAAACATGAGTAAGTTGTAAGTTAAACATTGTAAGTAACCACATTTTACAACATTATTCAAGCGTTTCTGTTGCTGTTATTCTCTAGATTTGTGGTGTATTTGTATTTTTGTCCAACCGGGGTCTATTGCGAAGACCCAAGTGCATCCTTCCTTGAGAAGGATACCATTCTTTCAAAATGTTGCCTGTGGTTTGGAGTAAGTGTGACAGTTCTTCCAGCGGGGGTTTGTAGTAGGTATCTTATTGTAAGTTCTCATAATTGCTATAAAACATTTTCTGTTTCATTTGTCAGAGTGTCTAGAAACAAGTCTGAAAAGAAACGTCGAGATCAGTTTAATGTTCTTATCAAAGAGCTGGGTTCCATGCTTCCAGGTAATGCTCGGAAGATGGATAAATCCACTGTACTCCAGAAGAGCATTGACTTTTTACGGAAGCACAAAGGTAACTAACAACAAAAAATAGGTTTGTAAGTTACGATAGTATTTATGATATGCACTAAGTACATAAAACATTAACAGTTGTGCAGCTCCTGTAAGGGTATTGTCAAAAATCTAAAGAGCCTCTGAAGAAAGATATTCATGTGATCATAGTTTAGGTACCAGACATATTGCTATATTTTTGACAGTATTTTTCAAAATCAGTATATATATATTTTTAATCCCATAGCTGTTGAACAAGTCTCATAAAGAGAAGCATTTATTTTCTAAATAACCTTGAAGTTGTTTGAGCTGGGCCAATGGAGACCTCTGTCATACAGTTGCTTCATAAGGTGCAAACTGTTAAAGTTATGCTTGTCAAGAGAGCTCTGCTGATCCTTTTTAGTTAATGTATTTGTTGGAAGAACTTATTTTGATACTTAGATTCTGCTTTGAACAGTTGGTTTGTCTCTCCTGCTTCCATATGAAGCAAGATGAATTATTGAAAAAGCTAATCCAAGTGAATCTAAGCCCTCTCTCTGCTATATGACATCTACATGGCTGTCAGCTTTAACTGGGATGACAGAGCGTTGTGTTCTACAGCAGGCTTATATTGGGCTGGTTTGTTTGATGAGGGAGAGTGGCGTGCCTTGAGAATTTAGGAATGCAGATCTGGAACCCAGGCATTTTCTTTTTACCTTCTAGCTGTAGCACAGAGGGGAAAAAAAGGCAGGAAATCTATAAATGCTTTCAGCTGAACTTTCTCATTTTCGAGACATATCCACTTATATATAAGCCAATGAGTGTATGTTTTGTGAACTTGAATGTGAAATGTCAAAACTAGAAATATCTTTGGACATCTTTGCTGTGCTTTTGTTTCTCTGTTTGTTTGCATCAGCTGATGGGGGGGGGGAGTACATTAAGATGAACTATGTTGAAATTCATTACCGATTGTTTTCTTTTAGCCAAAAAAAAAAACATCTTCTACCAAGCCTACACTATTTATGGCTGATATTTCTGTAAATGGCAAATCCCTATATGTGCTTGTACACTTGTTCTTAATATGGCACCTTGTGGTTCACACTGCCAAAAACAAGATTAAAATTCAAGAAACGAGCTCTTTCCCTAGTTAAACCATTTCCTTGAGTAGTTTCTTAGCTTGTATGCTAATTAGAAAGCTGTAGCAACAAAGGAAGCAGCTATTAGTTAGCTATAAAATAAAATAAGTAGGCTGTTAAGTGTGTGAATAAGTATTTGTTTATCCCACAGTGTATGAGTTCAAGGTATGTTAAGATACGGTAAATATTCCCTTAGTATCATTAACACAGTTCAAGCATCACCAGATGTGTTTTGCATAGTGCCATAGAATAAACTTAAACTTACTTTTTTTCCTGTTGCTGTTTTCATTCTATTGTTGTTTTTTTTTGTTGTTTTTTGAGTTTGTGTTTTTGGTTGTTTTTGGTTTTGAGAATAAAAGAAAAAATGTAGCTGTAGGAGTGGGTATGTTTTAAGGTCTTGGGCATTTGTCCTTGACCTAATGGGACAGAATATTTGTGTGACTGCAGTTATCATATTAAGGTACCTGAAGATCTGGCAGCCAGTGCCTACCAACATTGTTCTGCACAGGTTTACATTACAATATTTTGCACAAAATGTTGGCTAAGGTCAGTTGCTTGCTTTGCCTCCTGAGGTCCTTGGATCTGTTCATTATATTACTCTAGCAGTGAATAAATTGTTCAGCAAAGATTGCCTGCTTTTCTGTTGAAAATCCTACTGTGTTCTGCCACCAGATTTAGATTAAGTATGTTGCTTCTGGCTCTTTCTGGACCACTTCCACTTTGGCTAATCTTGGTACTCTGGGAACAGGTCCAGATGGACTATCTGATTTGTTTATTGGCAAGAGTGGATTCTGCTTCTTATTGTAAACAAACAAACAAACAAAAAACCAGCAGGCTGAGCATACTGGAATTACTCTACTGAGAGCTTGTCACTTTGTAATGCTGCTTTGAATACCTTGAATTTGTAAACAAGAAAAATTTGAAAATGCTAGAATAGTGAAGAATTGATAAATGAGCAATATCCACACTGTGAGGAGACTGGAGAAGCTTTTGCTATTTCCTGCTGGTAATGTGTGACTTAGTGAAAAAGAAAGTGGCTTCTAGGAGTGTGAATCCTTATATTGTATTTTTGTTTTATTGTAGAAATTACTGCACAATCAGATGCCAGTGAGATTCGACAGGACTGGAAACCAACATTCCTTAGTAATGAAGAGTTCACACAGTTAATGTTAGAGGTATGTTATCTCTACTTTTCTGGAAGTAGAATACTACCTCCTAGGGAGCTGTGAGTCCATGGTGACATTTTTTTGTTTGGTGGCTTATCTTTCATGTGCATATTTTAATTCCATCTATATGTTTTCTTGAAGGTAAACAGCTGAATTTTCTATGTACATTAAATGTATATGGTAGTGAAATAGTTGCTTCTGTTTTAAAAGATTTTGCTAGCTGTTTCTAGTATTTCTCAAGTGTTCTTACAAAGTATGTGTCCACAACTAGTGACTTACAGTTAGAAGAAAATGATGTAAGATTTTTGAATATGTGACCTTTAAAATTTCCTATTTAGAAATGCAGTTCTGTTTGGTAATTTTCTACCAAAAGTCATTCATGTTTTTTCATCAGGAATATGTTTGAGTTAAGTAGAAGATAAAGCAATCAGAAGTGCGTTTCACAGTATCTAAGCTTAAGTAAGATCTTGCTACAAGTTTCTCTTATTGAAATTGGAGATATTGAGACTTTAAATATTGAAATGTGTTGATTTCACCTCCTCTTTCATTTGTTCTTTTTATCATTTCTCCTCCTTTTCTTTCTTTTGCTGCCGGCTCATTTTCCTGAGCTTTCTGGTGTTTAAAATGATGCTGTAATTAAAAATAACGAGCAGACAAGATGGCATGCCACAGAGCCAACTTAACAACGGCTAGATGCGTCAGGACCAAAATCTTGCCTGTGAAATCATAGATTATTTGAGAACAGAGCAATATGGAAATTGTAATGCTTACAGTGTAAAAGCAAGACCGAGAAGTTTTAATACAGAATTCTCACTGCAAATTCAGTTAAAATTGGTCTAAATTCTTTTCAGTGTTGCATATAGCTTAGCATTTTTAATATGCAGTTTCTTTTTATTTAACTGCCTATTATGTTTAATTTCAGGCTCTTGATGGTTTTTTTTTAGCAATTATGACAGATGGAAACATAATATATGTGTCTGAAAGTGTAACTCCTTTACTTGAACATTTGCCAGTAAGTATGAATTGCTTTCAGTAATGTGCTGGTTTGTCTGTGGATAATATTTTACTATCAGTACTAATAATTTTTGTTCTTTTGGGCATTATAGTGCAGACCTGTATAGTATTCTAATGCTTTTTCACAAATCCTTGCTCATGGTTTGTGTCCTGTATTAAACATTTCCTTTGAATATGCAGAATGCAGTTGGTGGTCACTTATGCAAGATTAAGAAGTACCAGACTAGCATCAGTTTGTGTTCAGCATGGCTATAACAACAGATGTGACTGTAGGAGATCCTTTAGAGTTCACACCTATCGTGGCCTCTACACGACTCAGAAGAATATTGCTGAAGAGCAGTACATTGGATTTTTTTTAACTAATTTTTTACTGCTTATTTGCCAAAGAACACTCATGGGAAATTCATCATTGCTGATTCTGCTTATTAGGCTGGGTGAATACTTTGAATTTTATTACATTCACTCATCTTGAATTTTGGTGACATTGCTCACTGCTGAATTAAACGTTCTAGTTTTTAAAAGTTACCTTTGAATAATGTTACTAAGAAATGGGAAACATTAGTACTCAAAAATGCACAGTTGACGAGTGGAACAGAGCTTTTTCTAGAAAAAGAGGGGGACAAATTATTGATACAGGCTGGTTGCCTTGTAGTGGTAAGAGAACTTTGCAGAACATGGAGTGACATATTTTAAAAATGGTTCTGCCAAACAAATTCCTATAAAGTATGCATGATATCAGCTTAAAAATTTTGAAAGTTGTACAATTGTGGTTTTTAAAATCTATAGTTTACCTACTTCTTGGAGGCACAGTTATCCATTTCTGTTAGATGTGATTTATATATTCTTAATATATGTTCCTGTGATCTTTTCTGAATACTTTATCAAATCGATTTATGCATATAAACATGCATCAATTTTAATTGAATTCATCTGTACACTCCTAGCACTGTCTATATAGTTGTTGTTGCTGACAACAGTTGTGAAACTGATGATAAAACACATTCAGAAATCATTCCCAATTGGATATAATTATTGCAAATATTGTCAACTATGTGATGTAGAGAGGGGCTGCTTTTTGTTACGAACTACTGGTTGGATGTGCTGATTGCCACTGATGGATTACAATGCACGAGACGGCCGCTACGTAATTTCTCATCTACATGCTGCTTTATTTACCTCCCAGAGAGATTAATAGAAGTTCCACTGTACTTACATGTCTATGCATATCTGATGCATTCATGGCATTTTCATTAAATGATTCACAGTCTCAGAACAAATGAAAATGGTGGATTTTTTTACTTGCAGAGTGTTCGCATGTAATCCAGCAAGTGACGTTAATGAGTTACTGATATTTTAGTGATATTTTTCTGATCTGTGGAATTGCTTTGCACTATAATAGTAACGTTTGTGATTTTCTATGTCTTGCATTATTTTAAAATGTATAAAATGTTTTTTCTTTCAGTCTGATCTTGTGGATCAGAGCGTATTTAATTTTATCCCAGAGGGGGAACATTCAGAAATTTATAAAATTCTGTCTTCTCATCTGCTGGAAAGTGATTCATTGACACCGGAATACTTAAAATGTAAGTAGTTGCATTAAGAACAATCCACTTCATATTGTATGTGATTAGTTCTTTTTTCCAGTGCTGTATAAGTGGAAATGTGTGGATGAGGCATGCAGAATGAAACGTGCAACTTGAATGGGAGCACTTTCATGCTGCGCTGTTCCTCTTTTCCCTGAAGAGTAATTTTGTGTTGCATGGCATTTCACTCTATGACTTTGTTTACATGGCTTCTATTTAGACCATTCTAGCAGCTGACAAGAATGAAAACAGGCCATGGGTGTTGGAAGGACATAAAGTTATGTTTTGGGCAGATGCTTGTTTAAAATAGTTCTATTTTTTTCAAGGGATCTGTATGTCCCTGGCATTCAGTCCTTTCATACACACATGCCAAATGAGTTCTCCTTTTCTTTAGCTTAGCTAATATCACACTGGTTAAAAACAAAGGCTGTAGCTATTTGTAATCACCATATTTACAGTATCTTAGTAAAGTACGCAACTTAATTATTCCTGCTTTCCATTTCTAGTTGCCTGTGTGTTTCATCAACCATGCAATCTTTTAATTTGTTCGTTCTTTTCTCAGCAAAAAATCAGCTAGAATTCTGTTGCCATATGCTGCGAGGAACAATAGACCCAAAAGAGCAACCTACATATGAATATGTAAAATTTATAGGAAATTTCAAGTGTTTGAATAATGGTAAGTAATTTCAGTCACATTAGAGTGGAATACTTTGAGACCTTCATACCTGAACAAGCTTAGGGTGATTATGCAAAACATAAGGAAAAACTAAAATCAGTCTTTGAAAAGAAGAGCATGAAACAGAGTTACATCAATTTTTTGTAATGAAAACAAGACTGCCCATCAGATATTATGTGTATTTGAAGGCAAAATATGAAGTCTTTCAGTTAAAGAAAGCTGCAAAACATTTTTGAATAGTGTAAGAGAAATTTAAGTCAACGCTTTAAAGTAAGAGCCTGAATTAATTTAACTATAATCCATATTTAAGTGGGTGACTGAGTAACTTGAGGATACTAAGTATCCGCTGTTCTCATTATTCTTGCAGTGAGTGAGCTGACGAGTAAAAATGCATATTCTGCACTTCCCCCCCCATTTCTATTTTCAGTTGCAGGAGTTGCTATTCAGATCAGTGGATGGACCATTACAGAATTTCACTTTTCTGCACTGAATGACTTCTCTCATCCAATAAAGTTATTTTTATTCATTATTTCCACTTTTGTATACAGTATCTTAAGTTTGTTTGGGCAACCTGTGCTGAGTAGCTGCTTGAGAGTCACATCTGTTTGGTTAGTCAGACAGGTGGATTGTGGGCTGTGCTCAGTAGATCACTTCTCAAAAAAAAAAATCAAAAGTTATCAAAAGCTGTGTCTTGCAAATCAACTGACTTTTTTCATAAGATGAGGAGAGATTGAGTGTTAGAGCCAAAAGCAAGTATCTAATACTGTAAGAAAACTAGAAAAACAGGTCTGTAGAGATGAAATATGGTGTTAGTCTCAGAAAGAGGAGCTGGAGAACTGTGGGCTTATAAGTTTCAGTTCAAGATTGGGAAATCATAGAATCATAGAGTCAAATACTCCCAAACAAATAGCTGAACTGACTAGGAGTGGAGTAGCAGCCATTATGGATTTTTCAGATACAAACAGCATTCACATCCGTTCAGTTTTCTCTACCAGAGTAACACACTGTGTGGATAAGAAAAATAAACTGTATGCTTTGAGACAGCTTTTGACCATGATCATAGTATATATCCATGAACATGTAAGGGAGCACGTGTTAACTGAAATTGTTAGGAGTAGCTGCAGGAACAGGTTGAAAAAGTTACCACAATTCACTGTCAAATGGAAGTTTTGATTTTTTTTTTCTGGGTTTTGTCAGTATTTTCATTTATATTATGAATAAGGGAACATAGTTTGCAGTCATACAGTGAAGCAAGAATGCTAAAAACATTCAAAATGCTGCAAGGATAGAAAATAAATTGGTTTTGGGGAGAAAAACAGGCACATTTGTTAAGAACAAATGCAAAATGCTGCATTCAGGGATAACCAAGTATATAGTGGAAAAAGGATTATAGACAGTTAAATAATATTCCTTTAGAAAAAGTGCTTACTGTGGAAGGTAAATTGAACATGGCCAAAGTGCTGCGACCAGTCATCAGATTATGAAATTTTAGTGGTGAAAATTTCTCTATGGTTGTGTTCCTATTAATTCCTTTGTATATATGTGTATGTATTCTGTGTAGCAGTTTTCACATTGATGACAAATTCAGAAGAAACTACATTAGATAAATACTGATCCATTTGTCTTGTGACGTGACAAGCCTGTGTTGTAACCTCTGTTGAGCTCTTTTTTGCCTTCCCTCAGTTCCCAATTCAGCACACAATGGTTTTGAAGGAACCATTCAGCGATCGCACCGGCCTTCGTATGAAGACAAAGTTTGCTTTATAGCCACAGTTAGATTAGCTACACCTCAATTTATCAAGGTATGCACATTTCTATCATATCACCTTTAAGTTATTTTAACCGTACTCTGAACAGGAAAACTTTAGAGAAAGTGCATATAGCACTTCAGATATTATTGATGAAAGTCATGAGGGATTCTGTCATATGAAACTGAAAATATCTGTGTTTCTTACTATGGGGTACTGTTGCAAGCTCCTGCAGTAGCTGAAGTAGAGATTTAGAGTACTCTGTCCTGTTTGTAGAGCTGCAGTAAGGTGACCATCTTCCTAGTGGTACTTCTTACCCATTATAAACACATACGGCTTGTATTACTGTGCTTGTAGATGCTGAACATGAATGTACTGGCTGCATTTAAATCAGCTGAGTTTCAGCCTAGCATAACTGACATTAGATTCTACCACAGTGCTATGCATCTAGCCAAAAATCTCAGTGAAATTTACAAATCTTATACCTGTTGTGAAGTTATCCACTAACTTCAGGTAAGCCTGAATTTAAGAAGAGCTTGTGAATTAGAATAGAGCAGTTTTGAAAGAGATGATTTTTTTTTCACTTTTTAGGAAATGTGCACTGTTGAAGAACCCAATGAAGAGTTCACATCTAGACATAGCTTAGAATGGAAGTTCCTATTCTTGGATCACAGGTGCTGCAATTCTTTCTATATATAGCAGCAATAGTAGCTGAATCACTTTTAATGGCTATAATATGTAGAGTTCACTAATCAGTATTAATTAATCATAGTTTATGTTGGGTTTAATTTTTTTTCTCAGAAAAATGAAAAATAAAAAATGCAAATGCAAAAAAAAATGCAAAAAATGTATATAATGATTTTTTTTTCTTGTGAAAAGAAAATGACTGTAAATTTTCTATTAAATTAGGGCACCTCCAATAATAGGCTATCTTCCATTTGAAGTTTTGGGAACGTCAGGCTATGATTATTATCATGTGGATGATCTAGATAATCTGGCAAAATGTCATGAGCATTGTGAGTATGACCAAGTTGCTAAATTGAGTTAATTTGCTTTCTAGATGTTCAGTTTAAAGTTTGTTAAGGTTTGAGTGAAGTTTTCTTGTATTTACGAGTGCAGTTTCCCTACTCCTATTCATTTGATGATATCATACTACTGATATTGATATTTTTCTTTTGGTACTGAACTGGAAAACAGATTCAACTTTTAATTTAGATTTTTTGTTGTGGTGAATGGGAGTGCACAGCACTCTGATTAATACTTCTCCCATTCTTCTAATAGCATTTAAAAGTCTCTGTGACATTTAATAAATACAAAAACTGTCTAGGCATGTGATAGAATGAATTTTCTGTTTAGCTATGATTTTCTTCAATTTTTTGCATATGAGTATTTCACTGTATATAAAAGCTCTACAAAAATGGTAAATTGAATTTTGCATTTCTCAGACAAGTGCAGATTCTTTCTGGTAGAAAACTACAATTTTGATTCTCTTCTTATCCTTAGTATCAGATTGAACATGAGCTCGGTTGGGAGTTGGGAAGAAGAGTTGGGAAGTAATGCTTATTATATAATTTAAGTATTTATAGACTGGAAAGACAGTAAAATTTATTCCTCACTTTTACAGTAATGCAATATGGGAAAGGGAAGTCATGTTATTACAGATTCCTTACAAAGGGACAGCAATGGATTTGGCTGCAGACACATTACTATATCACATATCACCAGTGGAATTCCAGGCCAGAGTTTATTGTATGTACGCACACAGTTGTAAGGTAAGTTTTCCTTGCTAAATCCATGTTAGAGATATTTAGATTACATGGAAGCTGTATTGCTAGTTAGTATTTTTTTGAGATAGAGAATAATAAATAGTACAAAATTACTGGAAAAGTTCCTGTGGTACTTTGTAAGGAAAATACTTTGGAGGAGTTTATTTTCTGAGATGTGTTTTTAAAATCATCTATGGATTGAGCAGTCGTATTTGGTTTGTTCTTCTAGTTATGCAGAAGTCAGAGCAGAAAGGCGGCGAGAGCTTGGTATTGAGGAGTCTCTTCCAGAGATAAAAGCAGATAAAGTGAGTAACAAACATTTTGTTTCACTTCATTTCATAGCAATAACATGTAGTAAATACTTAGCAGCAAGAGTTATTTGTCCTTTTAAAGTAATTATTTCAATCGTTAAATAGTATGTCTATTTGAAGTTCATAGTTTATGATAGTATGTATTATATAATAGTATAATATTCATAGTTTATAATAGTATGTCTATTCAAAGTCATTAAGGAAGTTTAGGAAGGATATTTGAATGTTATTCCACTCCTCCTCTTCTCAGCAGTTTATATACCTCTAATTATAGCCTGTCAACTTCCCTAAGTCCCTACTACGATCTGATTTCTGCAGTTAGGTTCATACATAAATATTCTTCCTTCCTGGAAGGATCTGTAACTTGGAAGAACAAGGTCAGCACACAAAGGTGACGTAAAGGAATTCACAAGAAAGTAGGAATTGTTTCCTTTTGTGACTCTCTTCTACTTCTTAGATGTATGCAGGATTCATTTTAATTGAACATCCCTGGAAGCTCAGCAAGTCTTAGTTGAGCCAGCTTGTACAGATACTCCGTGGTGTTTTTCCCTTGGCAGTTTAGAAAGTTTCATCTGGCAGTGCACCTTCTAGTGGAATTAACTTTTCTTTCTTCAAAAGAATAAGCAGTTCACTCCTAACACAGGTGTTCAGACTTAACTGAATTGCTGGAGAAGCAGGTCAGCTCAGCAGTCAGTTTGTGACATGTCTGCATGCATTTTGTTTTCTAGGCTTCTGTGGCTTTGTTTTGTTATAAAAATTGTTATAAAAGAGTAGAAGTTACAGAAGCAAAGCAGAACGCTACTTCTGTGCTGTTGGCGATGAAAGGGGTTGATGAGCTGCTGTGTGGCCTCAGATACTTTCTTACTGAAATGTACAATGTGGGCTGAATCTGATAAAATAGCTGTTGTTTCTGTGTGTCTCTTCAGAGTCAAGACTCTGGATCTGATAATCACATAAACACAGTGAGCCTCAAAGAAGCTCTGGAAAGATTTGATACCAGCCCCACACCTTCCGCTTCCTCCAGGAGTTCAAGAAAATCTTCACACACTGCAGTATCAGATCATTCGTGTAAGCATCAACTACTGAATATATAATTTTCTTCTTAATGAAGACTTTCTCTGCTTTTCTTAATGAAATCCATCTCTAGCAGTTAATCATCATTTTATTAAGAGTGCGCAGATGAGAATGTCCTTTATGATGGGTCAGAGATATTCTAAGATTTCCCACTAAGATTTTCAGATGCTGTGTTTCTGCTTCTACAACTGCAATAGCAAGCAGCCCCTATACTGCCCTGTTTCAGTCCATCAGATTGCATTATTGTTGGATATGGAAGGAAAGAAAAAAAAAAAAAAAAAAAAAAAAGAGTCCAAGTCCAAGCCTTAAGCTTTTTCTATTCTGGAAGATCTTCCTAGGATTTGAATATTGCATTGCAGAATTGAGATTACTATTAATACATTTCATCTTCTTGTAACAACTTTGTCAGCGACACCAACTAAAATGACAGTGGACACTAGCACTCCCCCAAGACAAAGCTTATCTGCTCATGAAAAGTCTACACAAAGAAGATCATCTCTGAGTAGCCAGGTAACTCTTTGAAAAAACATTTTTATACTTAAATCAGTGCATTTTCCTTTAAAATGTGTTATTAAATTCATGTGACCTTCATTCTATTTCCTCTGAAAACACAACATTTAAACTGTAAGACTTTTACTTGGGATATTTGGCTGTCATTTCTATGTACATTCAGTGCATAGAATACTGCATTTTAAGGGAATGCAATAATTGAGCATGTAGGTATTTATGTTTTGGGCTTCAGAATTCATAGGAATTGTATCTGAGTCTGTGCTTTCACTCACACATAACTTCTTTATATGATTCTGCATTGTATTTGTATCTGTGTGTGTGTGTATAAAACTATATAATAATTGCCAACATAATGCTGTGTGTCCCTATAGGTTATTCATATAGGCTTATACCTCTGAGAATATCAGCAAATACTGTAGTATGGTTTCTGAAATCGTAATAATGTGACAAAATACAATGCTTCATGTGCTTAGTGCTCGTATTGCACTGTATATATATGAACTAACACATTTACTACAAAAATAGAATAGTGTATCAAATTATGTATTCTGCTAATATGCTGAGTATTAGTTTAAGAACAGAAGTGTCAACTTCCAAACTTGTTGGAAAGTTTTTGCCCTTATTGTGAAAAAGAATTTTAAAGCAGCCTTGTTTTTCCTGTTTTATACCTGCTGCTTCTTATATGTTTTTATCAGGGAAGCAATTATATAGAGATTATGTATATTACAATATTTTTGTGTGTGTTCTTAATTCTTTAATATTTAGGCTTAGGCATTTCAAGAAATGCACTTGTTTTTTTCATATATTCACGTGATGCCATTTTGGAATTGAATTTGTGTAAGGAAATATTTCATGTCAAGTATGAAGTCCATTCTCTTCTAGTTATGGAACAATTTTTTTAAAATCCTAGTCTTTAAGCTCCCAGTCTCTTGGACAACCAGTAACACAGCCAACGATGTCTCAGCCTGCTACTTTACAGCTCCAGTCCAGCATGTCCCAGGTATGGATTAAGTTGGTTTGCTAAGTTGTTTTATTATTTCTTTAACAGTCTTGATCTGACTATAAAGTTAATTTATCTTTCAAAAACTGAGTTCTTAGATGTCAAAGTTGCCTTCAGTGTTTTTCTCAAAATGAGCCAATTTCTGTTTGACAGAACAGTACCATGTGAATTACTAAAGTTTTTATAGGGTCTTAGTGATTTGACTGCCAATCAATTTCTTTTGCTGTGATTTGTTTTGTTTTGTTCTAAGCAGACTAATTCTGATGCGTCAGTTAAACGTGTAGACATGAAGTCTGTGACATTTGTGTGCTGATGATTTTGTCCTTGGTTGATGACTACTAGCAGTTTAAAAAACAGTGCCTGATTTCTTCGCTAGTCTGGAGGAGTGTATTTACTACTTGTGAATTAAATGAGATTATTTTTGCTCATCTTATAATTTATACATGGCACTACAGCCTGTCTTTCAGTTTTCAGCTCAATTAGGAGCTATGCAGCACCTAAAGGACCAGCTGGAGCAGAGAACACGCATGATAGAGGCAAATATTCATCGGCAGCAAGAAGAGTTGCGGAAAATTCAAGAACAGCTTCAGATTGTCCACGGTCAAGGACTTCAGGTGAGTAAGTGTAACTCATACACATTTGATCTGTAGAGAATTTAGAGATCTAAAATGAGATTTAGGCACTTCATTCCAAAATGGGATTCTCTGTACTCCTTGTCAGCTGTCTTCTGGATTTTGTGTGCCTGAAATTCATAGAACCAATGTTACTGTTCCTGAGGTATTCATAATTTTGCTTCTGAATGTATCTAGTTGTGCCCCTATGTATTCATTCAATGTTGAGTGACTTGTGCTACCTAAATGTAAATGAATGTGTTGTAGTGGTTATTACTTCTTGAATAGCTCTGCAGCTATTAGAATATTCATTCTAAATGTGCAAAATGAATATTTATTTCCCCTTTTAGCTCAGGGGTGTAAAAATCATTGGATTTTTACATTGGATTCATCCAGTCTCTTGGATGAATACATACCTCTTAGAAGATTGTCCCAACTGTCAGGCTTACAGCCTCTAACAAACTCTTCTTGTGAGGTGGTTATACACTGTGTGGCATTCTGAAGTAGTTATTCAGCCACAAAGACGGGAGGTCTAGAGGACTAGAGGGAATGGCCTCAAGTTGTGCCGGGGAAGATTCAGTCTGAAGGTTACACAATTTTCACAATGCTACTTTTCTGAAAGAGTGGTCAGGCACTGGAATGGGCTCTCCAGGGAGGTGGTGCAGTCACCAACCCCAGAGGTGTTCAAAGAACGTTTAGACATTGTCTTGAGGGACGTGGTTTAGTGAGAGCTGTTGGCGATAGGTGGGCAGTTGGACTGGATGATCTTGTAGGTCTTTTGCAGCCTCAGTGATTCCATGATTCTATGCATTACCCAGTCTAGCAGCTGAGAGTAACAAAGACCTGACTGCCTGACTTCTGTATTTTAACCAATATATGTATTTGATGGATTTTTAATTTTGTAATTCTGTTTTCAGTATCTATATTGGGAAGAAAAGAATGATTTGATATGATAAGAATGATATTGATTGGACTTTTCTAGCTTAATTAAAAAGTGCCAAAGCAAACAAACAAAAAAACTAAACATCATAAGAAAGAATCTTAATATTTTCAGTGTGCACTGTGAATAAAGAGTAAAACAATCTATACTTCCTGGAAGTATTGAGTATGTTGCTTAAATTCTGTTGTGGAATAAGAATTTCTGGCATGTGCTTTTTTGTGTTTCACTGTGATCTCACTTAAGCCTTCCAGCAGTAGATTGCTTGGGAGGTGCTTGGAAGGAGAGATTCACAGCTATCATCCCATGCACTGCAAAGGGACCTTATTTAGGACTATGGGAAGTAGAATACAAAACTGAAGTGCTGCACATTCTACATTATTACACTGAATCATTGTAGTTTTTAGTCTAACATTGTGTAAAGACTCAAAATCCTTTCATGGTAAATTCAGTTTATTGAAATGAGGTAATATTGGAAAATACAGTACAACCAGTATGGTTTTGTAATTGCCAAGGAAGTACTTTCTTGGTGCTATGTCTGGATCAACTGATACTGAGATTTTTAATTAGTTTCACTTCTAGAGGCTCGAGAAGTGGAAGCAAGATCTCTAAAGAATTTAATCTTTAGGTAGTTACAGCCTACATTGTAAGTAATATTTACAAACATTGCTTCTAATTTAAAACCAGATACTAAGTGTCAGTGTTAACGGCTTTAAAATTCAGGATTCTCATTCTTAGCTGTTAGAGTCTCTGAATACAGATCCTGTATGGGACTTAGCCCTTCGCTCTTGGTAATTGCAGTGCTGTTTGGACATCTAATAGCTGGAATGAAGCTTTATCTTGTATTAATATCATAAGAAATTAATTTTAGTTTTTGTATAAGATATTGAATAATTAACAGATTTTTCATAAGAACTAATTTTAGGATTTTTTTTAAGATGTTCTTGCAGCAGTCAGCTTCTGGACTAAACTTCAGTTCTGTGCAACTTACATCTGGAAATTCTTCAAGTGTTCAGCAACTTGCACCAGCAAACATGCAAGGTCAGGTTGTTCAAACTAATCAGACTCAAAGTGGGATGAACACAGGACATACAAGTACACCACATATGATCCAGCAACAGCCTTTGCAGAGCTCTGCGTCACAGGTAAAATTCTCACTAGTGAGAAATGCAGTAATAGCTTTCCTGACGTCTCCCCCTCCAAATTTTTTGTGACTGTCCTTCAAATCAAGTTTATTCCTTGTTCAAAGTTTTACAATTGAAATGTACTTATATTCTTGCTAATGCAATTTCACACCTTGCTTTAGTTTTAAAACTTAGAAATGTGAATAATTACAAGTATAAATAATTACAATTTACAAATGGAAATAATTCCGAATGCTTTTTGGAAAAACCAATATACAGAAAACAGCTTGCCTTTTTGTGCATTTTTATGAATTTTCTACTGACAGAACGTACAGCATGAGAACATTTGTACTAATTGAGGTTGAAATCCAGACACTGATCTCTACAGTAAATGCCTAGAAGAACATAAGAACAGGAAAAGCATATATTGATGATTCTGAAGTTGACTTTTTTGCTCCTCAGCAATTTCAGTCAGATGCCATAGCTGATACCTTTTGCATTTTAAATGCCTTTGATGGATTTTTCTTCTATGAGTTTATCCAGTTTGTTTTGACTGCATCTAAACTTCTGAAATACAGAGTATCTTGCAGTGAGTTCTACAGCTTTAGCTGCTGTGAAATTTGTTGTTTGTTTTTTAAACCTGCCACCTAGCTTTTATACTGGGAAATACACTGAATAGTTACTTTTCATCTTCATGCATAATTTTGGAGTCTTCTGTTGTATGCATATAAGTCTTTTTCTCAAGCTGAGGAGTTTTAATGCGCTTGACAGTTTTATGGAGAGGCTGCTTATAATTGTGATCTCTATGGTCATCCTCCTCTTTCCTTTTTTCCAAATCCCATACTAGTTTTTAAAATTTGTGATGAGACAGAGTAATGGTGGACACTTTATCACTTTAGCATTAAGTTAGTTCCAGACTTTGAAGTATGAAATTGATTGAGGTAATGTGCGTGTTTTAATGTGGCACAGAGATGCTAAAGGAATGGAAGACAGGATCTTGAACAAACAGTATGCAAGCAGATGAAATATTAAGGAAAAAGATATTCTGAAGAGGAGAAGAGATTAAGAGATTTTCAGATGCCCTAGAGCCAGTCACACCTCCAAATCCTCAATTGATAGGAAATACCTGTCTGCTTTAAAGTAAGAATTCATTTGTAATAGAAAAACATTAGCAGTTGTAAAGCATGGGTAATTACATTGAGGAAGATGACTGTAGTAGCTGGCTGTTTTCAAGTGACTGATTCATTACCTATTCTTCCTTTACAGCATAATCAACAAAATGTGCTTAGTGGGCACGGTCAACAATCTTCTCTTGCCAGTCAGTCACAGAACACAGTCTCAACACCTCTGTATAACACTATGGTGATTTCTCAGCCAACAACCGGCAATGTGGTTCAGGTTCCTTCTAGCTTACCACAGAACAATAACCAGAGTGCTGCTGCAGTAACTACTTTTACACAAGATAGACAAATCAGGTAAGTTTTCAAGACCACATTGGGATGACTTGTAGCTATGTAACCACAGCATTTATGATATCATGTATAGAAAAGTAGCATAAAACCCATAGTATTTGTTACTGTAATCACACAGCTGTGTAGGTAAACTTTACCCAAGACAGTGCTTTCATAGGCTTATCATAATCAGTAGTGCTACAACAAGGCATGAGCCTGACAAAAGCTGCATTTGTCAAGAGCACCTAAGGCTTGATGCATTTTTCCTAAAGTGATGCCAAATGTCTTTTTCTGTTGACAGATTTTCTCAAGGTCAGCAGCTTGTAACAAAACTTGTCACAGCCCCAGTAGCATGTGGAGCGGTAATGGTACCAAGTACTATGTTTATGGGACAGGTGGTGACAGCTTATCCCACTTTTGCTGCCCATCAGCAGCAGCCACAGACTTTGCCAGTAACACAGCAACAGCAGCAGCAGCAGCAGCAGCAGCAAAGTCAGCAAGACCAGCAGCAGCAGCAGCAGCTCACTGCAGTTCAACAACCAGCTCAGCCGCAGCTGACCCAGCACCCGCAACAGTTCCTACAGGTAGTGTAGCATTCTCTAAAAATTTGTCAGTCCTTTCAGCATGCTTATTTTAGGATTATCTTAAAATACTTAGGCTGCCATGAAAGTAATGTCTCGTATTTATTTCCATGGAAACTACAACTGATACAGAGAACAACACAGTAACACTATTTGAGCGAGCAAGCTGTCAGCTACAAAACAGTTTTTTGACATAGTCTGTACCATTAGCTGTGCATTTTCACCAGCAATGGACAAGAGCCTGAATGCTATGATTGTAAAAATCCGCACTGACAGAGATGACCCACTGTTTCATAGCTGCTATAATGATATTGTTGCTAGAAAGATGTTGCCCATGCAGTCTATCTTTCATTGGTCCAAATAGATGGAAGTCAGAAGGTTGCAATCCAGACTAAATGGTGGTTGTGGTAGAACAGTCCAGTTAAGACTGGCTGTGTGTTCTATGGTCTTTGAGCTGATGTGGGACCAGAGATTACTGTGTTGCAAGAGAAAGATTATCTTCTTCTGTAGCCTTACTCTGCTGGTTTGGGTCTTCAGCTTAGTCAGCATTGTGTTACATCACTCAGAGTTGATGGTTTGTCCAACTTCCAGGAAATCCAGGATTGCACTGTTCTTATCCTAAAAGTTAGTGCACATCACTTTACCTGCTGAGGGCTGTGTCTGGAACTACTTCTTCAGTGGGAAATTCATGCATCACCATTCCGTGGACTGTCATTTTAACTCCAGCTCGTAGCAGTGACACCACGTCTTGTCACCACTTAATGGTGCAATCCAGTAAACTGTCACCTGCAGCATCATATTGGTTCAGTAGGTCCTGACAAGCTTGCATAAGGTGCTCTTTCTGTTCCTATGTGAGCATTTGTGGGACACATCTGGTGCAAACCTTGCAGTATTCTAGCATTGCCACCATCATTTCCAACGCAATGAAGCTGAACTTCAGCTCTGCACACAGTTCCCTGGTCATAATCTGCTGATTCTTGTGGTGAGCTGATCAAGATGCTCTTCATTTCATGGTGTGACAGCTAGTGGCCATCTAGAATGACCACTAAGGTCATTTAGTCTAGTGCCAACCCATCATCCCGTACCCACTCTAACCATGCCCCTCATTGCCACATGGACATATTTCTTGAACACCCCTAGGGATAGTGACTCCACCACCTCCCTGAGCAGCTTGTTGAACAAACTTTTTTGCTATGTGCAGTCTCCCTTTTTCAAGAAAAGAGGTTTCCTGGATAAAGGTGGAATTTCTACAATGGAGTAAGTAGCTGGAAACTCAATCTAAGTTTATATGGACAAGGAATAGTTAAGATTCCATTTATGGATGAGTAAAATTTTCTTTACCTGGGCCAGTGGCAGAAAATAGTAGCTTGTTAAAAAGAAGGAAATGGAATTTCCATAAGAAATGGAATTTTCCATAAGAAAATAGAATTTCAGCCATTCATCAGCAAAGGCTTTTTAACTGCAAGCTGAAATCTCTGATCAAAAAGAGAACTGAAGAATATCTAGTTACTTGAATTTTAGCACTCATTCATGCTGTTTAGCAGGTAGGTAGTGTCTGTCCCTGCTTTTATGCAGTGTTGCCTTCATTCTTTTGAAAACAAGGTTTGTGAAAGATAAAAATCTTCAATGGTCTGTTCCTGTCCTGGCATTTCTTTCTAGGCAACAGTTTATGGTTTTTAATATAAACTGGTCAGCCCTCTGTTGAAGTGCTAGAATTTGAAGAAAAGCACATGGTGTGTTGTTGTTTGCTTTTTTTTCCCTCTCTTTAAAGAAGAGAGAAAAGGAGGCTTTTCCTGCTTGTGTTCAGAATAGAATAGAATAGAATAGAATAGAATAGAATAGAATAGGTTTGGATTGGAAAGGACCTCAAAGATCATCAAGTTCCAAACCCCCTGCCATAGGCAGGACCACCAAACTTCCAGATCTGGTACTAGATCAGGTTGCCTAGAGCCTGATCAAGCCTGGTGTTAAATACCTCCAGGGACGGAGCATCCACAGCCTCTCTGGGCAGCCTCTTCCAGCAACTCACCACCCTCTCAGTAAAAAACTTCCCCGATATCTAATCCAAATCTTCCCTCCTTTAGTTTAAAACTAGTCCCCTGTGTCCTGTCACTTCCTACCCATGTAAAAAGTTGATTTCCCTCATGTTTATGATCTCCTTCTCACAGTCTGATTCTGCAGGTGAGACAGTGATGTAGTTGTTCTGGATTGAGATGTCCAATTCCTTTTGTACCCGTCCTTCACTGCTTTTTCTTCAGCACCATCATCTTTTGTTTCTAAGAAGAGCGACATTAAAAATAAGTGTTACTTGCAGTAATGATTAATCCCCTTCAGAGGAGATGTTTGGGTCTGCAAAAGCAGCAGCTTCCTTGGTTTTCTTCCTTAGATTTTTATCCAGGGATAAATTTGATCTGTGCCAAGTCATGCTTTGGTATGCCAAGGCACTGCTTTCTATGTGACTGCAGTAACAGATGTGTATGGTTAAAATAGATTCCTTAAGCATAATAAGTTATGCTCTTGTGTTCTGAAATGGGGACGAATTGCCATGTGCTGTACCCATTGTCACAGGAAATCGCGAAGACCAGCTGCTTTATCAAATGCTCTAAGTATCTCCATTAAAGCCAACTCATCTTTGTGGTGTTGGTTCAGCTTCAGTGACCAAATCAGAAGTTTATTTTGACTGAATTCTTCCACAAAGTCAACAAGTAGCCAGGCCTGCAGTTCTCAGAGCAGCAGAAAACATGATTTTCTTCTGTTTGCATGTTTTAGACATCCAGGTTACTTCACGGGAATCAGTCAGCTCAGCTTATCCTCTCTGCTGCTTTCCCACTACAGCAAAGCACTTTTACTCAGTCCCACCACCAGCAGCACCAATCGCAGCAGCAGCTCTCACGGCACAGAACTGACAAGATGACGGATCCTTCCAAAGCGCAGCCGCAGTAGCTGGGGGCTCTGCCTCTCCTGGAAGCCAGCTCCCAGGAGGGGGCTGCTCCATAACCACTCGCACTGAAGTTGCAGAGGTAGCAGTACAAAGCCTTTCTAACGCTGCGGTGTTGAGACCTACAGCTAACTTCTGGAATCTGTTGAGGAAAACCACCAGGTGATGGCAGGGACGCGGCCAACTTTGATCGTTGCCCCGGTTTCTGTGCTCTAAAAGGTTTGCTGCCATGTGTCGATTTGTCCAGGTGAAATCAAAAAATGTGACTGAAATGAGAGGGATGCTGAAAATATTGGTATTTTTTATCAGTTCTGTACATTTTTAAAGTATTAAAATGGACACAGAGCAATTGTTTGATTTAGGAGAAAAAATGCCAGGAATATAGTCCGACAAACATCTAATTTTTTCAGATGATTATGGGACAGTAAATATTTTGAAAATGTTGTGTGAAATCCAGTTCTCTGTTGTACAGATGCTGTAAAATATTGTGTATATGTCTGCATAAAAGGAGAAAGAGCAAAATATTTTATATGATGCATGAAATGTAATCTGTTATTTGTAGGTTTGAATATGTTCCCCTACATTTTCACGCCATACTCAGACTGACGTTTTCCTTTGTTCTGCCCCTTTGTTTACAACATGCTGCATCGTTACTTTCACCCTCAGTGTGGGCACAAGTCTCTCGTTTGTGCTTCGTGATGTCACAGTCTGCTCTGTGAGGTATGGTGTGTTGGTTCGTTGACTTCTCGAGGTTAAATTATGGATGAAGCCGTTTGAACTGGTGGTCGTGCATCAGGGTTCAGGGTGTTCAGATTCATGAGTATCATCCATCGTTTCATACCTAATTCATTTTATTTGAAAAAAAAAAAAAAACAAAAAATAGGAATTTGCACTGCTTCCTTGCGGATGGTTTGGAATTTTATTCCCCAAAGCTATCTTTTGATATAGTTCATAGTTGGAAATATTTATGTAAAATGTTAAAAAAAAAAAAGAAAAAAGAAAAAAAAAAAAGATGGTAATTTTCAAGAATGTTTCAGTTATAGGAGTAATTTGCACAAAAAATATATTTACATTTAATAACCTTTTGGGCACTTTTTAACCACTTTCTCTGTGGTGAGAATTGTAACTTGTTAAAATATGTTGGAATCTTTTTATTCTCATTCAAAAATTAGATCTTTCTTTAGTCAGAACTAATTCAGGGTCATTTTAACAACGACAGAAAAACCCATAGTGCCTTGATTTTAATTCAGGTGATAATGTTGAACATCTTGACTTGCAGTGTCTCGAATCTGTAACCATTCTCGATTTTGAAGTCTTAGTACATTGTCAGCCAAACTCGTGTATCTACTTCATAGCTGTTTCTGCATCGTGATCATCTCAATAACGATCTGAGTTGAGAACGTGAGCGTTTTTGAGTGCTGCTCCCCCTCAAACACTAAGTCAGAAACTGAGGAGTCTCTGCAATCTCAGACCTTGTAGGTATTGTTCTTGAAGATGTAAAAACAGAGAGTGCTCCTTCAGTGGGAGCAGGGAGGGTAACCTGATCTGAAATAGAGTCAAAAATCATTTTTGTAGTGTTTAGAGTATGCCTTGGGGGAGACCACAGTCGATTTAGGAGATATCACTGAACTAAGACTTCAGAAGGCAACTTCACTTTATAAAGAAAATAAAAAGTTCCAACAGATACGATGTGCTATTTTAGGTAGGGTTTTATGGTACTAGTTTGTGAAAACCACAACTTTAGAGGAAAATAAATAAACACAGATAGATCTGAGAATTAAAATAAAACAGCAAAAGCAGTTAAAATTAGTAGTAGGGAGAGAAAGCTGGATTAATCTTGAATACTGAGGAGGAGTTGAATGAATGTAACCAAATGGTGATGGACTGTTTTGTTCTCTGGAACAGTTTGATTGTATTACTGGGTGAGCCAAACCCACAGGAGGGTGGCACCAGTTCAGCGAGCGCCCCATGCCATCGATGGCATTTTGGGGCTGGCCTTGGCCTCTCCAGGTGTCCCACCATTGCATCTTTGTTGTTCCCCACTTACAAAGCAAGAGTTTGGTACCAAAAAGCACAGTTGTGAACAAGGAAGGAGTGTGAGAAATACAGTACCAAAGAGAGTTAGATTGCGCTCTGCTCCAGGAGGCCTCTCGCAGCAAGGAGCAGGTGCCAGTGCCAGACATTGCAAGGACAAATTCCATTTCTCTAAAAGGATTTCTGCCATTCTCTGAGCTGGGATAAGGGTCAGAAGCCCACTGCTGTAGAGCTCTGTGTAACAAAGTTTGCCTTGCTCTGCTCTGCTGCTGCATCATTCACCTGTTTCTAAAATAAGCTGTGTTACCAGAGGTCTGCGCTGGCAGCACTGCTGCTTAATGGAAGTAGGTTAGAGAAAAAATGTTACCCGTTTACGGTGATAACAGCACTAAAAAAGAAACCTGGGAGAGCTTTAATAGTGCTGTTAGAACTATGGAATAGTGGTAAAATAGGTTTATTAAGCTATTATACTGAGAATTACAAAAAATAGAGATAACAGCCAGCCAGTTAATGATGCAGCTTTTTATATGAAGCTCCATTTAAACTTCTCTTCCCATTCCCCCCCTCCCCGATACTCTCTTGTGCTGCTATAGGTCTGTTGGTAAAACGCTGAACTAGGTGAGAGAAAATAGATGACAGTGATAGCAGGGCTGCTGAAAGAGAATAAAGAAATGTACGCTTTGATCAAGAAGCTTTTTGTAACCTCGGAGAGAGCTCATTCAATTACGGAGCTACCAGCCAGTAGACAAAGCATGGAAGGTGGGGAAATTCACAGAAACTGGAAAAACACAGCATCCATTTGAAATGTACTTACCGTGAATCAGGCAGACTTTATACAGAAGTACGTAGAACTTGTTCCGTGTTCAGTGCAAGGACGCAAATGCTTTGTTTCACAGCTGCTGACTCAAAGGTGTGTATTTCAGGTGTCTGCGGCTTCCCCCTTGCTGAATCAGTTGCTGAGCTGCTCTTGATTTTAGTGGGAAGAGGACCAGGCTGTCGCCTCTTTCTTAATCAGCCTTTTGCTTCTGACTGACTTATTTACTACAGTCATAGATTTTTTGCAACATCCTAATCAATAGCATGATAAGGAATGCTGCGATGCTGCAGGGTCTGGGGTGCAGACGTCACAGAATGACTCTGACAGAAGGGAAGGAATCTGTTAAGGAGAGGGTTGTATTTGTGAAGGCGCAGTCTGGTGGTATGGAACGGCGTGAAACAGTTGCATGGAGTTTAGAAGACAGACATTGTTTGCCAGCGATGGGTGAGGATTTGAAGAAAAGCTTCTAGGAAAATTACAGAGAAAAAGAATATATAGCTATTTTTATATTATATTTAATATATATTTGTATATAAATATGAAAAGATTCTAGTAGGAGCTCTCCATATGCCTTCCATTTCATCTAGAAGATTTACCTTCTGCACTATGGTTCCGGTGTGTCGCCACTTGTGTGGGCATCCTGCCTGCTGCCAAACACCAAAATCAGTAACCCAGTATCCTTACAACAGGTAGGTTTCATTTCAGCTTTATGTAAAAAATTAATTAAAAGAAAGCTATATCAGACAGTTTTTCATGGAAAAAGAAATTCTCTTTAAGATTCAAATAGCACTTTCTATCTTTTATTTTATTTTTATTTTTTGGAGTAATAAGAAGCACTTTACTGAAAAGACTATTTGAAAACCAGTTTATTTCTTTAGTCAGTGAAACTGTTGGGGGGGGGCATCAAGGAATGATGTGTAAAACTGTCAAACATTTCTGGAAAATGTTTCTTTAATACAGTGATCCTTTGAGGCTCAAAGTGCAAGATGAAAAAGGCTTCTAGAACTGATTGGCTTCATTGGTTTTACATGGCGTGGGGAAAGGTTGAACGATTATGGCTTCGTAGGGAGGAGACCTTTTATGTTGCACAGTTGCCTATGAGAGGCTCATGTGGAGGCCCACCTACCTGCTCAGTAATTCTAAGTGTCCCTTAGGATTATAACGTGTGTGACAGTGTACCGCAGGGTTAAAGATGTGGCCTTTGGCAGATGTTGAAATCAATTCAAAAACCACGCATACGTTCACAGAATTTAACCCGGGTATTGTGACGAGTTGCAGATGTCACGGCGTCAGGAGACGTCGGACGTCGCAGTCATGAATTTCTCTATTTGAAATCGTTATTAAAATCAGATGTGCAGTCAGAGGACTGGAAAAAAAATGGTTATTTTGATTAAAAGGAGAGAGACTAGTTTTAATAATTTTTATTTTTTTACTTATCCCTGGTGGAAAAAGTTGAAGAGTTAAATGAATTTGGATTAAAAAAGACGTATTTAAGCCAATTAGAGTAGGTGAGACAACTGTGAGCGAACATTTGAAATTGTGGTTGTCCCGAGACTGGATGGTTGCTTTGTCAATATCACAATTTGTAACACTACATTCCTTGTCTTTTTTTTTTTTTAGCCAGGTGATTTAAGCTCTGTTATACTTCATGCTGCGTCATCTGCATGAATTGTGCCAGCATGATATGCTCTACTCAAAGGAATTGTACCTAAATAAAAAGGAGGGAAAAAAAAACAAAAACACAAAACAAAACACTGTGTCTGAACAAAATACTGTGTGGCCTATACAGAGACCCTAGCTATGACTGAGAGATGCTGCATTAACAGACAATCAATGGGTAAATTATTTATGAAACACTTTTGGGAATGGTCTTAAAGGTGTTACTGCTTTGAAAGCAGCTGGTGAGTCGTGTTTTCAAAGAAGGAAGGTAAAAACTATTTATTTTAAAATACATCGGATTGAATGTTGAGTTTTTAAGCAGTGTTGATTTCACAGTGTCTCGGGTTCCAGTTTTGTTTTGTATTTTTTGAACTGGCATTAGCTTTGTATTTGTTCACCAACAACTCCTAATGCCGCTCATATTGATGTCAGGAAATGTAGATACAGTTCCCTGGTGTTCGTGTGACCATTACTAACTGTCAATTTTTTTTTTAATTGAATAAATGTAACGTTTAAAATTTTGCTTTTTGTAGCTTCTAAGGTTCTAGAATTATTTTTTTTCCTGAGTTCCTTAATGTCACTTCGATAAGAGTTTCACAGTGAAGTGCTCTCATACCCGTTCCACAGATGTAACAAAGGCACTCTCTACCCCCCAACAACTGACGTGTGAGAAGTTGCTTGATGTCGATTTTACCTTCTCTCCCTCCCAAGAGAAATGACTTGTGAGACTTCAGTAAAAATGCATACTGTACTCCTTTCTTGTCTGCTCTCTGTATCTCTTCATAAACTGCTGGCCCATGCTGATGGCCGGAGACCTTCAGCTTGTGTGGTTACACTGCCGCTCTCATAGGCTGCTCTAATCCTCTCACTGAGCAAAGTGGGAACGCCAAGGGCAGTAATTTAATAATTTGAAGTTAACCAAATGTTTAAGGGAAGGTGAGAGAGAAGGAAATCCCACAGTTGAAGCTGAATAACTGGAGGAATTGATAAATACTCTTTACAGTCTGCTGTTCTCTCTCTGTATCATCATCACAGCAGATGCTCATGGTAAAACTACTCATCCTTTGCCTTGGGGATTTAAAGCATCCTTGTGCAAGCTGTGTCCCACCTCCAGCCCCTGAGCAAATCCACATACCACAGGAAACAAAACAAGTTGCAGAAGCACCAGTTAAAAACTGCCAACACCCACCAATATTAAGGCTGATAGCACGCAGCACAAATTAGCACTTTTCTTAGATCTGAACTTTAGAAATATCAATATGTTTTTCCATAAGCTTATCAAGAAGAGCTATAACTATAAATAACTACTGCGGCACCTGATCAATGCTGCTCAGTGACACTTCACTGTTGTGCAAAGCTCTGCTTGCAGGAAAATGTTAGGTAACTGGGAAGATTAGCAATCCAAAGGTTAGCTACCTCAGCACCCCGGGCTCAGTGTCAGCGATACAAATTCCAGACCTCAGCAGTCAGAGGGCAGTGGGTAGCAACCCAGAATTCCAGTCTTAAGCAGTCACGATACCACACAGTCTCTTTCAAACACCTTTGGCAACTCTGTTTTTACATAGCAAGTGTGTGTAAATCAGCCTGAGGGTATACCTGTGTGGCACATCACACAGATGGGTGCAGCCATTGCTTTGCACCTCAGCAGTAACATCAGCACAAGGTTGTAGTAGCAACCTGCCACGAGCGCTGGCTTCTGGGACACAGCAAGGTGAGCTGCAAGAAAATGCCATGTCAGCATAGCCTCCTACACAGCATCCAGTATCACGGAAATACCTCATGATAACTGGGTAAATTTGGATGAAACTGCACAATCCATTCAAGAGCCCAGTTTGTTTGATGCAAAGGAAAGCTGTACAGCAGCAGGCAGCCTTTTAGAGAGCTCTGAGTACAGCCACTTACTTGTTAACCGGCAGATGTCCACAAGCAGCATCTGCCTATCGCACCTCCAAGCAGCAGCTCATGGGACCCAGGCCTTCCTGCAGTGCTCTGAGCAAGGCTGGTTTTTGAGCCGGACCTGTACTTTGGCTCACTGAATTCTTCTGAAAAACTCTGTACTGAAGATTACAAGTTTACCTTAATCTCTGCTTAGCACACTTTGCCACATGCAGTGTAATGAGGGCTGTGAATCAGGAACCTTGAAAAGAACAAGCACCAGTTTCCTCATTTCAAACAACTTGGACTGGCTGGAGGTTTTTCTTCCATCCCTGTAGAACTGACCATACCATCTAATTCTGTTTCCAGTGTTCAAGCCTGGAAATGAGTAGTTGTAGGTGGTTTGCACTTTCAAGTTTCCACTGCGTTCACAGCCTGAGTTGCAAATTCTTGCTTTGGAAGCTGATGTGGAAATTCCCCTGGAACCAGCAGGGAAGTCTGCTGGAACTGAGAATGCATCCCACTTCAGTAGGGTTGGAAAGTCTGTGCTGGGTCATTGCTTATGTTCATATTGCTGGTACGGCGATTTGCAGAGCCTTATCTTCGCTGCTTAAGTATCCACTCATCACATTTAACATCCTCCAGCCACAAAAGGAAACAAAATAGCAGATAACCATCAAAAGTTCCAGCTAGTTTAGTCTGTTTCTCATTCTACTCTGCAAGGCAAAGTATTTAAAAGGAAGAGTACTATTTAAATTGTATACGTTTCATTTCTGGAAAGCAGGGCCTTGACTGGCCAATGCAACAAGCAGCTCTTTCCCCCCAAATACCCTTTTCTTCTAAGCAGCAGTTACACCCCAGGACATAAGCATGTGTAAGCCCAGGCAGGCATGTCCCAGCAGCACGGCATCAAGCCTGCTCTGCCGCCTTGCAGCCAAGGTTTACAAGATTTTGTAATTCCCAATCCTGAAAACGGCTCCTTCTCCCCACCTGAGAGTTGCTGCAGGACTGAACTAGGCAAGCATTGCATTTCATCCTTGTGAGCAAGCTGACATGTCCAAAACCATTAAATCAGACCCATACCTGGCTCTTCTGGCTATTCTTCACGTTTTTATTCCCTGCTAATCGGCATTCTTGTTTACAAGGCAAAAGCAAATCATTCTGGACAACTTTAGAACTGATCATTAGTTACTGACTGCTTCCACGCAACTGAGGGAAAGCCAACAGGGATGCTGTCACAGTACTGTCAGGTGATTCACTACCCTACTTTTTCACCAACACTCCTCAAGTGCTTAGCTAGTTTCACAGCTTGTGCATCTCTTTCAACATTACATTTCAGGTCAGCCCCATCTGGTTACCCACCCCTCTGCTCTTCTCAGTGCTGTAACTTGCAGCCTGAACACTCCTGCAAGTTGGTGAACAACTTCCTACATCTGCATGTCCAAAGAGCAATAGCGAGTTAGCTGCTGAAAAGACATCATTTTCCATTCTCCTGTGCTCAACTCCACTGCTAAACACATTACAACTCACTGAGTATGATGGAGGAAATTGGACCAAGGTGCAATGAATGAACCACTCATTCAGACAGACCACCACACCGTTCTCCATCTCTTGGCTGAGGGAAAAGCACAGAGGCAGTGACGGTTTATTTTTCTAATTAGAGATCAGTAACTTCTTCCAAATCTGAGGGCAGAGGGGAGGATGTGGAAATAGCCATGGGGAGCAGAAGGAATTACTACTCACTCTCCCAGCACTGCAAGTATTAACTTAGGATGCAGACTGCCCATAAGGGTAGGCCACCTTAGGTGTGATATCTATTCATCTATACACACATGGCAGTAACCTGCACCTCAAGTCTACAGGGATTTCAAGACTGAACAGTGCCACACCTCTCCAAAAGTAACACATCAGAAGTATGAGAATGCAGTAAGGAAAGCTGGTAAAATCCCAGCCACTGAACCAGCCCATGTGCAGTTGTCTGAGCCAATAAAGCAGACAGCTAGAGGCTGGGCACTACAAGGCTGTATGGGAGGACACTGTTTCTGCTAGAGGCAGGGCAGCATACAGTGCTGCTAAAAATACACTGGGAGTCTCCAATCACCTTGAGCAGGCTTCAGTTATACAATGACTGGACTACACCAGTCTTGGAACAGTGAAAAATTCCAACAGGCAACTCACAACATTAAATCTCTACAGTTAGTCCTATCTGCTATAGTGCCTTCTAAAACTTTTGCTAAAATCCGAGAACCCGCCTCATTCTATAATAGATTTCCAAGCATTAGTTAACATTGGCTCTAAACAACCAAAAACAGTAGGAGCATTTTCTAACTCAATGAATATCTGCCTATGTATTGCCTATTTTTGACCAGGCAGTGGTCAAAAGCAGTAGTTTGCATCACATGAATTTGTGACAGCAGAATGTAAATGTGAAAGTTGCATGGATTTGTTCTGCAACTTCATATTTACCTCTTAAAAATATATATATATATATATATATATATTAATGTCTTCATTTTTTTTCTGTTGATCACAATTGTTTTAACACCAGAACAGTTTCAAGCAGTGCATAGGAAGTTCAGAAAGTTTCTACCCTAAGACACAGCCAACTGATTTGGCTTTTGATCAAGAATTTTCAGCAGGATGAAGGGCAGGCAGCCTGCAGCACTGTGATTGCCCAGCACTACCTAGCACATGTGTAAGAAAACACTGTGCTGTAGCACCACACAACAAGCAGTTTCCCAGTGAGCAGTTAAAGTTCACTCTTCCCTGCTTTGGGTTCCCTGTTCTTTCTTTTTTAATGTGATCCAGGTAATGCATCCCCTGAGGGTAAAAGGTTGAACAGACTACAGAGAGGGCATTTACAGGGTGTGGAAAGAAGAGGCTGCAGCAATTGGTTACAATGCTTGCTTCAAAACTGAACAAATCAGTGCATTACCCAGCAATTAACAACAGCACTGCCAGCAGCTCCTTCCTTCAGATCAGGACTTGAACATCAAGGCCTGGAGCTGTAATCTGTTTTCATACCACTCTGCATAAAAGGAATCAAGCGGCTGCAATCTTCAGGGTTTGAGAACCTCAGCATTAAGGGGTTTCTATTGGCAGCAAAATCCAAGAGGAGGCTTCCTACCCTCTGTTCTCAAGCAACAATTTGGACAATCTAATTTGTAGCACTTGATCTCACTTTAGCTTCAGGCTAAAGCAGTAGATAGATGCTATTAGAAACTCTATCTTCTGCTTTACAGAAGCTCTTAACATCTTATTTAAGCTATTAGCTCAGAATCTACTAGCTACCAAGCAGCAGAGAAAACCACGTGTTTCAGTATCCCATATCTTAAGCGACCAACATTTTCAAAGTTTTTATAACTGGTATTTATAACAGCATCCAAAATAAATTTAGTAAAGTTTAAATAAATCATCACTTTAACCTCTGTGGCAGGAATTATGGAACTGCCAAAAAACAATACTGAAAATGACTCAAATTGAGACACTATGTTTTATTAATACTCTTCCAGATTACATTTCTATTCCTAAAAAGAAAAATATGAACATATCTAAATCTAAAGATTCCATTATTGTTCAGTCCTGGGAATGAAACACCGTTAAGTTGGACCACTTTATTACTTTCCACATACTTTATAAAGTTTAGAAAGTCAAAAAAGAAAAAAAAAAAAAAAGAAAAAAAAAAAAATCAAATACTACTAGCTCCAGATTGCACATTGAACTTGGTAGGCTGCTCATCAGCACACAATTTCCTGATAAAAATCCCTGATTAAGAAGTTTGCCCTCTACATGAAATTCATAATATTTTCTGTTGGTGGCTCAGCAGCTAAATGGTATAGGAACGGCTCCCCAGCTTTTTGTTGCTTACATTATCCAGCCTCAGGAACGTCCTGGAACCAAAGTCTTTGGAAATGGGAGTCAACTGTTATCTCTTTAATATTTTGTTCAACATTATGAAACAAAACACTCTGGTCTGCTTCAGAGAAGGCATAAGAATTAGCTCTTGAAGCAACAGGAAAGGGAGCCGTGTGTAACAGTGGGGGAAAAAAGAAAGCTCCAACATTTATGGACATAGATTCTCAAAACTCAGCTGAGCCAGGTTCAGCAAACAGGAAAATCACACAAATCCTACCACAGTAGCAGGTGCCACAGAACATACAAACCAGACAGCAAACAGATCTCCACCGCAGAAGCTGTCTATAAATGTCTCAATCCCACCAATCGTTTGCTATAAAAAGTTCAGTGTCTCATCTTCGGTGCTTGTTTAAACTGTAATTCTGTACATTTATATACAAAACCACACAAGGATAGCTGCTAGATGCTTCCAATCCTTGTCCTTTTGCAGTGATGAAAAATATTTAAAAACCAGAGTCTGGACTTATAAATAGTGCAGAAAATGCAAAAGCTAAGAAGACAATGCCTCCTATGATTGTCACTGGAAAGGAAAAACAAACAAAAAATGAATTAGACATTGAGAAAGTTAAGTAAATTCATAATGTGGCATGGAAGATATTTATTTATTTGTTAAGAAGTCTGACTACTGAAAAATCTTTTTAAAACTTAATGCTGCAAACAGTGAAGCAGTAGATGCTATTTCTAGCTCAGTGTCAGGATGCCCATACACCACCCCATTGTTTAATCTTATCTACAAAGACATAATCTGGACCTTAGGAAGGACCATGTGTATTACTTCAGCTAGCACAAAGCTGAGGCTGATGCCTACTGTTGTGTGTTTGGCTACATGGAAAAAAAATAAGATACAATATTATCAGGCTGGAGCAAGTCATCAGTTAGGAGTGGCACTGCAGATCAGCAATTCTAGCACAGTTCAGGTTACCATACTGAATGAGCCAGTATTAAAACCAGTAACTGCTTGCAATGGCCAGAAGCTGCTAGAAGTTGGGGCAGTATCACTGCATGTGGCCCATGCTTCTCTAAACGAGCTAACAGGTTAGATGGATCTTTGACCTAACCTAAGGTTATTGCTATTGCCAGACATCCATGCTGGGCTTGTTGATAGCACATTAAATTATTGCTAGATTAGCAACTCATCATCTATGGCCTTAACAAACAAGACAGAATACACATTTCACCTTTTCCATTGAAATTTACCCCTTCACCTCCTTTTCTGAAACTGCAGAAAACACACACAGACCCAAACACTGAACTGATCTTAAAGAAGTCTCAAGAAACATTCTTCCTAAACACGCAACCACTGACATCACAGACATTACCAGCATTAACACATTTTTCAGTTGGAGTGAGTTTTCACTTACCAGTCCTAACAGAAATTTTTTGTGCTATCATTCTCCCTCCAATAACTGCTAAACCAGTGCATAGACAATGTCCCACCGTTCCTCCTACTGCCACACCATAAGGATCCTGAGGAGAAAACACAGAAGGGAAAAGAAACATCAGCACAATGGAAAGCCTGCTAGTTCTGGAACAACCTCCTACCATGAGGGAACCATAGCTTGGCTCTTTGGTTACGCAGAATCAAGCACGTGAACACTATCTAGTGTTTACTCTGCACCACCACCTATCACTGTCTTAAAGAACAGTAACAGAGCCTTCAGCTAGTAAGACAGCCTTAATGTAAACCTGATCAACATAGGAGTATTTGGGATGTTTCAACCAAAAAGCATTTTCAGGTGGTTAAATGTAGATGCAGAGATCACTCTGCTGCACTTAAACAAGTAAGTAACACTTAATGGGAAGATGGCTGCTCTTGATGCACACCAGCAGGAAGAACATCAGCTTAAATATAAAGGAAGAAAAAACATGTAAATAAACCTAAGAACCGCAAGCGAAAGCTTTCAGTAGCTAAAACATTCCAACTTTTTCATCCAGCTCAAGTTTATCAGCAAGTTTGTGCTTTATACTTTGGTGCCCCAATAGAAAAATTAGCCAAAGAGGGTACTATCGTGGAATTTAAGTCTAGAGGATAATAAACTGCTCTCAAAATGTATTCTTACAAATACATTTGTAAGCTGTCAACAACAGCTTTCACGCAACACTGCATAATGTGCATTACCTCACTACAGTAACAAATCCACAACAAAAAGAAGTTCCCACGACCTTCTCACAAATTACAGCATATGTATTAAGCACCTCATAAAACAGAACAGTTTAGCATTAGAAACAAAAAAAACCCCACACCTTTTAATGACAGATGAAGAAGGCAAGGTAAGAGCCTGATTTTCCACTGCATTAGGATGAACTAGGGAAGGTAGAGTTAAGTCCTGCAAACCTCTCTTTTAGGAAACAAAGACTTCCAGCTCATAAAGAAAAAGCTACTGCCTTGCTTCATGAGGAATGCATGAAATCTCTAACATGCAAACAGAAACTGTCCAAGAAATGATCTGATATAAGGAAAACACAACACTGCCTGATCAAGACAACCAGAAGCACAAGCTACTGAGAGAAGCAAAGAGCAGTGGACAAAGAACAGACAGAAAACTACTAAGAAGGCCAGGAGGGAGGCAGAGCTGTGCCAGCAGAACGCATTTGCTTCCACAATTGGGAACAGAATCCGGTATTCCTGGAACTCCTCATTTCCATGCTGACAGCAGCCCACTGGCAAAAGGTGGATCCTGCCCTCTGCTCCATTGGCAACTGCTGCCCCTTGGAGGGAATAATTTACAACTTCTTCCAGGAGTTCAGTATCTTCAGCAGAAGTGCTCAGATACAGCCAAGAAAATCAGTCTAACATGACGTGATAGAATTTCAGCTCCCTTTCCAAATATTTAGGCAGATGAGTGTTTCTTACACACAGAAAACTGCTATGGTGTTAATTCTAGTTCTTAAGGATTGCTGTCAGGATTAGGTTCATTAAGATAGACTTAAATCTTTCTCCTGGTGTATGCTCTGAGACAGCGTACATTACACTTTTTTTTCCTCCACAGAAACCATGTTTCATTCATTGTGACAGGATGGATACTATGCACTTAATGAGCAGTCAGAGTACTTTCTTTTCACTCAAGTTCACAGTTGACTTACCACACTACTGGCAATCTCTCGCTATGTAAATTATTCTTTGTGAAATATTATTTAGTAAGGTATCTGAATGTAAGTAGTATAAAATAATTCCACAAATAGAATGAGAAAAGATTATTTTTTGTAGTACTTTTGTAGCACTTATACGTTTCATATGTTAAAAGCTTAACATCCACAGTCTTCTTTTACAATCCTCAGTACTTCACGGACTGCACCGCAGAGTCTGATGGACATTTCTTAATGGGACACTCAGAAAAATGCAAAAGAGAAGTCAACCTGTGATAGGATGGGCATAAGCAACTTATCCAGCACCATACAAAATCTTTGGCGGAGGCAGTAGTAATAATTTCCAGTTTGCCAAGATGGCACGTTGCTAACTGAACAATGAGATCCTCCTCTCTAACCTGCTCCCTGCCTCTCTAGCTCTCAGTGCCTTCCCTGCTCTGTAATAAAGGCAAAAGGTTCCTACAGATTATAGCCTCCTTCATTATGCAGCCTTGATTTATTCCTGGGGAAGGTCTGAGGGTGCACTGAAGGAAGCATGAGTCCTAGGAAAAAGATGTTAATGATCTCAATGATTGGAAACAACACAGGGCAACTACTGAAGGCTTATAGTCAGCCTTTTAATAAGCCTGATCTTCCTGTAAATGTATAACAGTTACGTACGCTCTGATCATCATGCTGAGTATCACTTCATTTATGGTACTGCTTACTGCACAGCGGTTCAGAATTTTAGTTCCACATACTTTAACAAATTCTTCTAGATTTTTTAAAAAGCAGTATCTTATCAACAGTTTCAAATTTGCTAGGATTAAGGTCTCCTTTTGAAGCTGCTGTGTTAAAGCTGCATTATCTCACAGATCAAAGAAAAAGTAGTTCTGTAACATCCTTATCTTTACACCTTATCAAATAATTGTATTCAGCTACATGATGTCAAACAACTCTTTTCAGAAAGGCCCATGCAGTTCTAATCATGTGGCCGTAGTTAAAACAACACACAGAGCCTCCATGCATTGATTTTCACATCTCTGCACAGCTGTGACATTAAGTAAAGCACTATAAAGCAGCAGGTGTGAATGTGACACCTTACACAAGGGTATTTTGTCTCTTTCACCTAGCTGCAGACAACACAAGGAGAGCAAAAGAAGGGGCATTCTGCAGCACTCACCTCTCTGGCTGCCAGGACGATGGTTGTTAACTGGGAACGATCACCCCACTCTGCTAAAAATGTTAAAGTGAACGCTTGTACAAAGATGGGAGAAATAAAATGGAGCCATTTCTTCTGAGGTATAGTGGCAGTTGATCCTGTTTCCACATCCCCTGGCCCATTTAACAGTTTAGTTCTCTGAAGCTGTAGAAGACAAAGGGAATTAAAAAAAAAATATAAGATTAGAAATGTCAACCAAACAATCCAAATGAAATACTTAAACTGTAAAGCTGTTAATTTAACATCTGGAATGCTATTAGCCACTGATTGTGCATACTAACATGTTATTTATATTAGATGGTATTTTTTAAAGCCTACTATGTATATATAGTGTTTAATATAATATACAAATATCACCTCTGATTTCCAATTGCTGGTAGTCTCAAATCTTGCAATCACAAAGCAGTTACAACAGGAACAATATTTAGTTTCAAATGACAGATTGCTTCCCATCTATTCTAAAGCAGAAGTCTCTCTTAAAAAGGGGTGGCTCTCAAATCAAAAGTGGATAAAATTGTCCCAAAGAAACAAGATCACTATTCCTTAGAAATGGACTTGAACATTTATAGAGTCTGTTAGTACACACCATTAAAAAAAAAAAAAAAAGAAAAAAGAAATTCTACAGGGAAAACTCCTTTTCTCCAGAGAAGTAGGATATGCCACAGGTCTGGGATCATCTGTTGAAATAGCATCCATACGGCCACTTCTGTCCAGCTGACCACATGTTTGTTGTGTTAGACTTATTAATTGCAGCCATGGCTGAAGATCCCAAACATGAAACGTAGCACTGCTCTGCAACTTCAAAGCCACAACTGTTTCATTAGCTGTAATTCACAGAGAGAGTTTATGACTTACTTCCTCATCTTTTTTTTTAATTTCTGCCTGAACTTCCTCCAGCTCTTCCTGGCCCTCATCTGGACTCATTTTCAAGCCTTCTCGAAGCATTCTAATGCCAAAAATGGCAAACAGTGCAGTCGACACATAGTATGTATACACACGAGGAATAACTGTTGTGGCATAGCCAAACAAAACTGAAAAGAAAACAAATGCATAATTTCAAAAATAAGAATGAATATAATTATTTTCCCCATATCAGTCCAAGCAAATTTGTTTTTCCACTCAAGGTCAACACAAATTCTGCTCTTTCCCAAGCATACCAAAAGATTTCATCTTTAATCACGTTAGATTGGCTATGACATATAATATCAACTCACTCTATTTATTTACATGGCTGTATGTTGGATGACATCTTCCAACCACTTTTTAAAATTAATTTAAGATCTGTCTTCTTCATCAGATAAAGGCAAAATGAGATTTTCTACAAGATAAATTTTCTAGACGTACCCACAGCCAATTGTCTGAATTCATGCCTTTCTTCTTTGGCTGAGTGCAAATACCTGAAAGCCACCATTCCTCACTCTCTCTCCTACACTCCACCAACTTCATCCTTTCTTAATCCCACTCAAAGACTAAAAACTACTTCCACAGTACACCTACTTTTACAGGTGCTGAAGGTGATCAGACTCAGCCAAAACTACCTCTCAAATAGAAGAAATACGTACCCAAGACTGACTACTCCACAAAGATCACAGTTACAGACCCAAAAGGCCTGTGCAAATACAAGGAAATTAAAACCTCACACCAAATGTTCTCAGCTGTTTGGACCACGCTGTCATACTGCATGTGCAATGAGCCAAGTGGAAACATGCTAACATATGCATACATCCTTCCTTACTTGCATCCACACTGCCACTACCAAAGTAAGATTATCAGATCAAAATAAAATTAGGCTGCAGCACACACGCAGAATAACTATATCATTGCATAGCCAAATAAAACAGAAGAATATAAAATTTGTTTGAAAGATTGAAAATACTGCATTATACAGAATGCATACAGCATTACTTGCCACGTACAAAGCACAAAAGCAGTGAAATAATCAGAATGACAACGCAGCTTGTTATATCACAAGGGCAAAAATGTTTCTAGGCACAGCTTGAAAATAAACAACACCAAAAACCAAACATCTACAAACTGATTATTTGGATATAGAGAATTTAAATGAGCAGAAATTCATGAAATCATGGCTGGAAAACAACAAAAACTCCAGGAAGTTCTACAGTACCACAGTTTGTAGGAAACAAGGACAAAGAAAGGGAAAATCCCAGCTCCCTTCCTAGGGAATACATTGACTTTACATAGAAAAAGGGAGAGCTGTAATGGGCAGACAGATGTAGAAAAGAGACCACAGGGTGCACCCTCACCTATGATCCTAAATAAAGGAAGCACACAGTGCAAAAGTGGAACAAGTCTCACAGACTAATGTTATTAAGCAAGTAATGGAAGAAACTTTTACAATGCTATCTGAACAGCACAAAGGGAAACTGCTGTAAGACTGCAACAATAATTGTAACATGCATTCACAAAAGCTGTCATCTCCATCTGAAGATGCTCAGATCAACAATGAGACCCAATACCAGTTAGGAGGCAGCACATATAAAACACTGAACATTATTTCAAGTATTTCTGTTGAGGGCATGTGAAGAACTGAGCACACACACAACCAAATACATGCTGCATCCAATGTACCTAAAGGCTGCTTCATTCTATGGTTACAGCTGTGTAAGCACCCACAGCTACAGCTCCCCAGGTGCCATCTGACACCTTGCTCCCCTTCCAGCTCTTTGCTCTGTACTGTGCACCACAAAGGTTCATGACTGAATGTAATCCTCCACTTTTACAGCCAGATATATATACAAAGACACAAGTCAGTCAAGAGGAATGTGACATCCTGTTAAGCATCTTTCACTGTGGGAAGATAAAGACCTCAGCCCTACACTCTCTTTAGGTATACTAATTTAACAGGAGCTAAAAATAAAAAGGAATAAAGAAATCTGAAAGCTAAGGGATTGCTTGGGCACTCCAAATTCCTTTTCCTTAAAAGCATACAGATGTCTAGGGAGTGTGAACACCTAACTGGAGTTTAGAGCCTAATGCCACAGCCCCCAGAAAAAAACCTTCAAGGTTTACACAAAATAGAAGACTGCACACACCTGCTGTCTACCTTCCATTTGACTACCTTCCTACACTACCTTCCGTTTGACTTCAATTAGGGTTAGTTAGGGTTTACCAATAAATACAGACTTATCCAGCACATTTAAACATACAAAACAAAACAACATGAGAGCTAACCTGATAAGCACGTCATCAGTCCTAAGGCAAGCATAGCACCAGCCAGTACAGTCAAACGGTTGTATCGCATTGCCATGATGGCTGCAATGAAGAAGGTCTTATCTCCAAGTTCTGATACAATGATGACTGATATAGCAGCCACAAATGCATGAATAAAGCCCAAATTAGTCTTGTCAGTTGAGTCTTCATTGACAAGATGAACTGGAGCAACTGGCGAGGACCCCTTCTGTAGGCACAGGAGGAGACAAAACAAAATAAACACCAATTAATTAGGCTTGAACATATAATTCCTGGAAGTACTGAGCTCTCTGTTTCTCCTGTCACATTGCATTGCCTAGTGTGGCATTTTAACTATTCACCCTCCATGTGGTATTAGCTATGATTAACTAGTTACTGGCTGCTACCTACCTCAAATTAATGGGTGATCACTTCACAAGAAGCACCTGCTCTGATTATTAAAGCAGTACTTCAGCATGCATGCTACTACTGGAACATGAGAACCACTACCACAGTCAAGGGGAGAAGCAACTTTATATTGCTATTGGTACAGCTGTTGTCTGCTTACGTTATGACGCTCAAGCAAGCAAGCAATTTTGTGATAGAAATAGTAAGAACTAAACTCTTCAAATCTTCAAGCAAAAATTGAGCGATTATGAGCACTCAGGAGAAAAGGGAATCCTTTAAAAATCTGTCAGGATCTCCTCGCAGAATCTTTGCATCTCAGCTCCATTAAAGTTTTATGCAACTTTTCATGAACTGTTTGTTTTGTACACACTGTTGAACACCAGCTCTAAGACTCCCCAGTGCTCAAACCAGCTCAGCACATTCCAGATTTCCCTCAACAATCAGTGTTTACTCTCATGAAGATTAAGACACCTATAATCAAAAGCAGACCCAAAACAACAAAGCTGCTGTTCACGTGCTTGACCAGAGATGGCCAAGAAAGTTAATACCTCCATGAACAGAGACAGATTGCAACTTGTTTCATAAGGAGACTTGCCAGAACTCCCTCAATAGCGCTGGGAAGTCTGAGGTTTGATGTTTGAAATTTTCTTGCTCCCTATTGTCTTGCATCAAGCAGTATGCTGACAACTTTTTTTTTCCTATATGTGGTCATTTGGCAATGGAACCCCCTAACCAAGAACAAAATTTTAGAAGTTTGAATACAAACAAACTAATCCTAAATACTGATACAAGCTGAAGAGTCCTGAGCTGCAACAAGATAGGCTTTCTTCTGCTTACACGCAGAAGACTTTCCCCCATCAGCTTGTAAACAATGGGATCTTAGTACAAAAATATTTATCTGTTGAAAAACATTATCTCATTTGGCCAAGCTCTGTTGTCCAGCACAGCATCAGGTACCACCTCCCCAGTGTAGTTTACTGAGAGCGAACACACAAGGTGCTAAAACAAGCTCTTTTCTTACAATAATTGAGTTTGTCAATTACAGCTTCTCAGATAATGAATCAAAACCATTATTTTTTTTTGTAACACACCCTTCAATTCCTTTCTTTTAGCATTAAAAAACAGATAATCACAACTTTTCTATCTTCAGCTTGCCAAAAAGCTGACTTTTGTTTGGCATGTATCACCGAAGCAGAAAACATTAAATTACTTAAGAAAAATCTCCTCTCTGCTCCAGCTTTATCAATATAATGCCTACTGACATTAAAAAAAAAAATAAAAAAAAAATCATTGCCAGCTTTAACCTCAGTAACTTACAATCACTTCATTACAGCCAGTGGAGCTCTTCAACTAAGCGGTGAACAGAAAAGGATGATGAAAAATAACACTTTCACAAACTTTCTTCACCCTTTAAAAATCACCAAAGCTCAGCCACTGGTGGCCAACCAGAACACAGATGACAATAGGGATGCTTGCTCAACTACAGCAAGAGCAGCCATAGGAACAGAATCACACAGAATATCCTGAGCTGGGAGAGCCATGACGATGGGAGTCACAGACTGGTCTGGGTTGGGAGGAACTTTTAAGCCTTGTTTCACCCTCATGGGCAGGGCTACCTTCCCATCAGCTTAGGCTGCCCAGGGCCCCATCGAACCCGGCCTTCAGCGTCTCCAAGGATGTGGCGCCCACAGCTCCCACCTGGCAGCTGTGCCAGCACCTCACCGCCCACAATTCAAACTCCACGTCAGACAACGCGATGCAAGCTCTTACCGAGTCGCGCTCCGGAAGGCGGGCAGCCCCCAGCAGGCTGCTCGGAGCCGCCAGGTGAGGGCCGGGCGGCCACATGGAGCCACACGGAGCCCTGTCCACGCTCCGTTCCCACCGCCCTCCTCGCAGCGCTGCGCTCAGGCCGGGATACGCGCTGCCGGGAGCGCTCGTGTTACCTGCAGCGCTACAACTGACGCTTCACTTCCCCGGAGGCTCCAGAAGCAACACTCCGGCGAACGTTACAGCGCTATCTGCTCGAACGTTACTTTTGCGCTTCCTGTTTTTCTGCCCTCGCGCTCCCCCGTTCTGGAGCAGCCTCCTTCAGTCGCAGCCTTCGCGCGCACACGCGGTCACTCCGTACGGTTCACCTTGACAATGTGAGCGCGGAGCCGCGTTCCAATCCCCGCCCCTCTCTCCCTCGCTCCGGCCCCCGCTCTGCCCCGGGGCCTCGAGGGAAGCGCTCCCTCCCGCAGGCCGGCTCTGCGCGGCCCCGCCTCACCTCGGCCCGCGGCTCGGCTCCCTGCCCCGCTCCCTGCGGCGGGGCCGCCGGCACCTTGTTCCTGCCGGGCTCTTCCTCCGGCGCGGCGCGCAGCCCGGCCGGCGCCGCCCTCAGCACGAGCATCGCCCGCGGGGCGGCCCCGGCCAGCGGGGCCGGGCGGCGGCGGCCGCGCTCCGGCGGGGAGAGCGGCGGGGAGCCCATGGCGGCCCGCGCGGCGCTGAGGGCCTCTCACAGGCGCCGCGTCATCGCCCCTCGCCGGGGAGCTGCCGCCGCGCGCCGCCCGTCCCAGCCGCTTCCTGCCACGGCCCGAGCGCGAGGGGCGGCGCCGCAGCTCGCCCACCCGGCCCGCCCGCCGTGACGGCAGCGGCACGGCCCGCCCACGGCGCAATGAGCGGAGCGGGTCGCTTCGCGGCGCAAGCGGAGGAAGCGCCCGAGCGCTGCCTCGGAAAGGAGGCGGCGAGGTTCGGTGCCGGGAAGGGGCGGCTCTGCGTCCACAGCTGGGGCTACGGGTCCAAGGAGAGCGGGCACTGAGGTTTCGGGGATGTATTTATCGCGATTTTGAGACATCAGACCAAATGGGATGGAAAGGTATCAAACATCCTTTAATTAACGATTGTGCGTCATAAGATATACCGAAGTACGTAAAAACTCTTCTCATATACAAAATGTTGTTAAGTATACTCAAAGAAGTGAGAACGCGCTGGAACACCAGCGGCCCTCTGCTCACACAGATCTCAGCCCCTCCCGGACCACGAGGAGGACACACCGTCCAGTTGCTGAGTGCAAAACCCACCTCGCCCAGTGCTGAGCAGCAGCACCTCCGAGCTGCAGGCCCCTAAGGAGCAGGGCAGGCTGCTGTCACCCCACGAAACACAAAGGATGTCAAGGACCTGACCTTAGGATGCAATCTGCAAATTCTTTAGACAGAGAACCTTCCACGATTTTCCCAGATTAAGGATAAACAAGGGGTGTTTTTTGTGCTTTGCTTATCGCTGCTGCTGAGCGAGTCACTGCTCCAGCACAGCTTCCTCCACCACTCCTCTGTGCTCACAGTTGCAAGGCACTGCCTGGTTTTCATTACCACCAGGGAAACACAGAAAGCCAATGCATCATTTGCCTCCCTCTGAAGAGTTGCAAAGAAAAGAGAACGCGTATAAATATGCTTAAGTATTAGGCAAGGCATGAAATACAGCACTTCAAATGATTCCCTGCACTATCGTTTCTCTTCAGTTCTCATGTATATATATTGTGGCTTTGCTGCACAACAGTGAATGCTTTCTGCATAAAACAGGACTCTAAACATGGAAAAGACCCTGTTAGCATCTCATCAGTTCATTAAGGGCTTCATTAAACTTTTTCTTTGCTCATATGATACACAGAGACCTTACGTTTCCCCACATAAATTGGCAACTCTTATGAGATAGAACAGTTTTAACCTCTATAGCATAGAGAAAGTGTGCAATTTTGCCTTGACTTTAGTAAAACATTTCCTAGTTTGCACTGAATATGCTTTAGAAGGCATATTCTAAAAAATAAACGGTATAAATGCTTTTCGATGCTTTGGGTAGGAGGTAAATTTTTCCTGATAGAACTCATGACACAAAACAGCAGCCAGTGTCTGGTTAAAAAAGACATACATCACTACAAACCACCATGTCACATTGTGAAATCCAAATGTGATGGCCATAGATATATAGATGAGTAGTTCTGCAAAATAATGAGGGCAAGAAACTCTTTCAAACCAGTCTCCAAAAGGTATACTGTGTTTCAGACTTAAAACTTCTCCTGCAAGCAAACAGAAAGAAATTAATTGAGAACAGAGCTTTTCTACTCAGAATTACATAATAACACTCATTAAAATGATCACATCATTCACTCCATCTGACCTGGCAGCTTTGCATGCCTTAATGAAGTAAGACATCACTCTGACTGTTTGTGAAAATACAGAGAAGGAAATGTATTTTTACATTTTTTCTTTCTCCATTTGTATGGAGAAAGAAGTGATGGTTCAGAGGAGTGGTACAAGTCCAAAGCATTATTATTCACCTGTTCTTAGGATGACAGAAGCTAGACCCTTCAGTGTAACTTCTCAAAAAATATACATACGTATGTAACGTTCAGCTGTCTGATCCCAAATGGTTTCATTTAACCTACTGAAAATCTGAAGAGTGCCACACTATGAAAAAATACTGTTTTTTTAAGGTGGTAGAAGCTACAGAAGCCTATTGAAACAACCAACAAATATTTACATAAGTAAATTGTTCACAGAAATGAAACACCTTACCTGATTTACTTTTTCTAAGATTAGCTAGAATCACAAGACATCTGTGCTGGTGAAGAGAGGCCCAAACATACATCGCAATGCCTATGATGTGATACCAGTAGATCTGCACAGAAAGTCCTTTTCCTGAATAAAATACGTTTCATTAAAATATGTTTTATCTTTTTCTGAGCATTGTCCCAAAATAGCACATACACATGTTGCACGTGTCTTACAAAATTTGAGTAGCAAGATGCTACTTTGTTTTTTCATCCAGTATCTTTAGGTACACTATCACATACAACTGATACATAATTCAGTCTCAGATCTCAGTCCTGAACTCTGTTCATAATTCTTACTATCCTAATAAAAGACACTGCTATGTCTCAAGTCAACACACAAGTACAGTTTGTCCTGTTCACAGTGAGCTGTATATATACACACACTGTAAGCCTCTTACCCCAGCAAAAACTCTGTATTGAGGATGGTCTCCCCTATGTACAAGTGGATATATCATATCTGAGTATCCAGCAGATAAGTAGAAAACAGGTCCAGATTAAAAAGGCTTTACCAACTCATACACAGTCTGAAGGCTGTTTTAAACATAACTTGATTAAAGTAGACCTGATGTGGTTCAAAGTGGTTAAAAGCTTTGCTAACGTCACATACTGGGTAATGACCATACTTTTATGCCATAATGACCATTGGCATAAAGCAGTCACGGGAGAAATGCTACAGTCAGCTCAAGTGTTGCAGAGAAACAAGCAGCAGTTCAGTGGAATGTACTGGCAGAAACAGGTCATAAAATTCAAATTTCTGCTTTATTACATTACAGTACCAAAAGAAAGAAGGGGCTGACTGATAAAAGGCAGAGAAGTGGGGAGTTCTCAATGGAAGGCAAAGGAACTGACCAAGACTGTCCTGCAGGCTCACCTGAAAGGAAAGTCTATGGCAAAAAAACAATCTCCAATTTGACAACTGGAGTTATCTAGTGATATTTGAAACTGGCAACAATTATTTTTCTTCACAAAGCATATATATCTCAATGACAACTGATCCAAAACAATTGCAAGAGTATTTACAGTGAGATGGAGTAATGGTGAATTTCATGGAATAACAGTGGTGATTTAAGACAGAAATTATTGAACAAGCAAGAGCATGTCTGTAATACTGCTTGATAAAGCAACATACTGAAATGTTACTTTGGAATATAGCAGCAAGTTATTATTACTTCTCATTAATTAACACACTTGTCACACAAGTCCTCCATGAAATCAAGTGAGCCACTTGCTTTGACGGAAAGAAATGGGAGGAAAAAAAAAAAATGCATCCTTGGTAACAATGAAGCAGGTACTCACCATTCCTAACACTCGTAGGCACTTGACACAGCACAGTTGAGCCAACAGCAACGTAATAACCAAGTCCAAAGCAATACTGCACAATGTGGATGACGCCATCGGAAAACACGCTGGTATAGAGGCATTCTGCAAGTCTCTGAAAGCTATGCAGCCAAAGGAGCAGGAGAACCAAGAGTGCAGAGAAGTGTTCACTGTCTGCTTACAAATAAAAAATAGCGACTTAGGGAGAGATAGGACCAATTTAACCCCAACAGTACTTCAAAAGAGCTAATTTTCCCCTCCCCAAAGCAAGATCCTTACCCTCTTTTTAAACTAACCTAGCACTGGCAAAAGTATTTGTACATTTGATGCACTGCTGACTGCAGAGACTGAGCATGACTACACCTACAAGGAGCTAATAGCTGTTCCTGCTAGAAGAACTGCTGAAAGCTACTAAATGCATAGCATAGAATGATTTCTACCTTGAATAATGCCAAAGGGAACTGGTATTCCAGGAAAGTCACTTGGAGCCTAGTTTAAGAGCAGCTTACAAGGTAGCATATGAAGAATACATATTAAGCCAAGGATGGTAACACAGTTTTGTCATATTTATGTGGCTGCTTCATAACAGCAGGAATACCTACCCGTATTCTGGTTCTGCAAATCTCTGCCAAAAGCACTATGGAAGATTTGAATCCATGGGGGTAATGACGCTCCAAGGAACTCAGCTTGAAAAAGCCTCATCAGTAGAAAACCATTCCAGAGTATAGAAACTACATAAAAATGAATAAACCACCTGTGGGAACAAAAAGCGCCTTCATTAAACTTAATGTTCTCCTCATTTTTCAGATGGAAATGTAGCTGAAGGAGATGCTTGTCTCATGGCGAGTACATGCCTTTTTGGCTCATTTATCAACAAGATTACATTTTCTTAGAACACTCATACCTTCTCTTTTGGAGAACTAGGGGGTGAGAAGACAACTTCATTAGTTAGTGAAGCAAAATAAAATAACACTCTCCAAGAACAGCTCGCGTACATCTCAACAGCAATAAAGAGGCCAAGTAAGAAACTCAAATGCACGTTCCACTACAGCTTGCCCATTAGCAGTTAGTAACCCCTCCGGGTGTTCACTCCTCAGTTCTGTCACCTGCCAAGCAGAGGCAGTGATGTTTGCTCTGCAAATTTGCAACAGCAAAAAGAAAAAAAAAAAAAAAAAAAAAAGCTTCCTCCATTTTCTGCTTAAAAGACAAACCAAATTTATATATAGACAAAACCATATCTCTCCCTTGAAGCTTCAAGCTCTTTCTCTCCCAAACTATTACTTGCTAGACTTATGTGTCATCAGAAAGTTTAACAGCTGGAGAACTTTCCTCACAAGCAGCGGTTTTTGTCACAGCAAAAAAAAATAAAATAAAATAAACAAGCCCTGCCAGCTTAGCTGAGAAATACCCTGTGAGATTTCAACAATCTCAGTTATGCATGGTAACGTACAGAGCAATCCAGCACTACAGTAACTGCACATGTCCTTCAAGGAAAGAGGAATGCTGTGTTTGCCAAGCCAACCTGAAATTATTCATAACATTGGACAAAATAGAAGAACAGA